GAGCATATACAACGTTAGCTTAGCCTGGTCGACCCGATCTTCATTCAGAAAACAAGCATTTTAAAAGGTGTTTCGCCTGCCGTCTTGTCTGCAGACTTGTCAAAGCATTAATTCATGGTTGTTACTAACCGGTATCAGTATGTTGTTACTTCGGCATCATTTAGAAACGTGTATTACAATTTAATCACGGTAAAATATGTTCATTTGTTGTAGTTGTAGCTCCCAAGCCAGCGCGTCTTGTTTGAATGATGCGAGTAAACACAGCTGGCAGCCGCGGTGAACCTCCAGCGTTTAGAGCGATGCGATAGGAGCGATTAGAGCGAAGCGAATATTCGCATAGCGTCCGGTGTGAACGCAGCATTAAAGTCAAGTAGTTTATTTGTGCAAGTTTAGCATGAATACATGTTAGGATTTTTTCATGTAAACATGTCACAGTAGAGCTGCAGAATACAAACATGAACCTGAACATTAGCATTATAGGGCCCCTGAAATGGAGGTTCAATTTTGAAATAATCATGAGATAGAAAAATGCCCCTTTCACACCAACGCGGTTCCAGGGCCTGTTCGGAGCTAGAGCCTGATAAGCACCGGTTTTTCCTGTTCACACCGCAGCGGAGCCGGCTCTTTCCCTACCAAGCACCAAAAAATGGTCGGTCTAGAAGCAAGAACCGCATACGTCACGCTTACGTCGGAGGCGGGGGCAGGGGCGGGATCAACCTGAGCAATAACAGTTTATGGCGAGTACGGCAAATGAAAGTTGTAACAAGCAGTAGCGCTGACCAAAGTGACTAGAACACAACCACACACTTATAAAAAAACACACTTTATAAAGTCAGGCAACACTAACCAGGCTTAGTGTGATTCTGTTTATTTGTACCTGGCTTTGACCATCCATTCGCTGTCATTGATCGGGAACCGCGTTGGTGTGAAAGGGGCAAAAGACTCTCAAATTATGACAATTTATTACTTTTTGGGAAAAATGTCAACCCTACTGGATACCCCTCATAAAATGGAACCCCTGTTCTTACAGGGAGGTTTGAAAACTTTTCCCTGATCTTTGTTTTTCCCCTCTTGTAAATGTAGAAGGTCAAAAACCCTCATTGTTTGACGGGGTAATGACCCAAAGAGTTATGCAAAAGGAGACAATGGGTCAAAAATAGAATTTGGTTTTATTGGCCACAATCCAAAAAGGTTAGAAACCCCTAAACCAAAGGGAAGTGAGGAAATCTGTTTGAGGAAACTGTTAAAAATTAAGAGATCCTTTTAATCTCTTTCTCAAGCTTTAACTTAACAGAAATGTACCAGTGCGTTAGCTCCACCTGGTTTCAATTATTCAAAGTGTCTCATTTGGTGTGACTGATCAGTGCTAAGCTTAGGCGCCGTTTACACGAGGAGAAAACTGCTTGTATCTGCATAGTTTTGAGTGCGTATAGCCCTATTATTTACACGAGGCCGATAGAAACTGACCCCACAAACGATAACGGGTCCCAAGGTGGATAGATTTGCAAACGAAACGCTCTGGGGGGTCAACCGAGTCCGTGTAATCACCTCTATACAAATATTTCCTGAAAAAATAGCGAAAGAAAAAAAAAATAGCACCTCTCCTGCTCATTGCTGTAGCAACTATCAAAAATAGCTGTGTTAATTAAACGCACAAGGGGTTCTTGAATGAAATAATATTATAAAAGGCAAACCAGAATAGTTAACGCCCAATATACTCCTTAAACAAAATAAACAGAGTCAGATTTCATGCATTGATCCATTATATTGACAAAGGAGGATCTCACCCGGTGTTTGTAGAGAATATCTCTCTTTTCTGAGCGGGGTCCTCTCCACGGAGACGTCGGTCGATGCAATATCCACAGATTCGGTTTCTTTCAGTTAACTTCCCCGTAGCATTTATCCATATGCTGAGGAAATTACTATATCCCGCTGAATACCAGCAATCGCCACACACACTTCCTCCTGTCAGTAGCTACTGCTAGTGCTACTGCTACTGACCATGCTACAGATATTAGTGCAAAAATATACAGCTCCTCTACCACAACCATCAGCAACAAGTGGACATGGAGAATTACATGAACTACATGTTGCTAAATACACCGCGGGGCATGAACAGAAGGGTAGCCATGGCAACATTGCGGCGGGGGCTGCTGGGGCTGCTCTTCTTCGCTGCTTTTGGTGTATTTTGGCGGAAGTTGCAGCGCCACTTACAGTCCCGGCATATGTACTACAGCGTTTCCAGCGGCCTCGTTTGAACAGACACGTTAAATGAAACGAATGCATGTGAACGGAAGACTTTTTTGAATACGCATACTGTGCATAAACGCAAACGGTCCCGTGTGAGCGGGGCCTTAGTGAGTGACCTCAGCCGTGGGTGTGGGGGTGGGTGTGGGTGTGTGTGGGTGGGTGTGGAGGGTAAAGGCCGCTGACGGGTGCTGCTCACTGACAGGATGTTTGCAGGAGAGGCGGCACTCACTCTCACAGGTGTGGCAGGTCAACCTTGCAGGGAAAAGAAAGGAAGGAAGAAAGAAAGAGTGTGTGTGTGTGTGTGTGTGTGACAAATGAGACGTAAAGAAAAACTACAGAGTAGAGAGAATGATAGTTAGAAGAGGGGGAAAAAGACAGATATACAAAGAGATAAATAAGTGAGTTAACTCTGGAAAAACAGAGATTAGGAATGTAGAAAGCAGGATGTTGCAACATCGTGTGTGTGTGTGTTGTGAAGTGTATCCTCCCTCAGTGTTGTGTCACCCGTGGTTGAGGCAGCAGTCTCCCAAAGCTCCACCTAAACCTGAGTTGCTGAAACATGTTTTTGGCACAGCTGGTCTGCTGACAGTGGAGTAGAGCTGCACATTCACCATAGGATTTATTACACACACACACACACACACACACACACACACACACACACACACACACACACACACACACACACACACACACACACACACACACACACACACACACACACACACACACACACACACACACACACACACACACACACACACACACACACACACACACACACACACACACACACGAACACGAACACACAGTGTTGAAAGTCAGCTTGTTGTTGATATAAAGAGAACCTCTACTAATATGGGAGGAAGAGCTCTCCATTTTAAACTTTAATATACTGTGTTTGTTGCCTTGGTTTTTTGTATATTTCCATTCCGTGTCAATTTTTTCTTTATTTTTTATGTTTCTTATCATACTGTACACACATCTCAGATTTACCCTGATGTCCTTGACATATTTCACCCCGCCCTACCAACTTTGAAACTATATAGAGCAAGGAAGCAGACAATTATAAATGAGTTTCCCTTTAATGAATACATTGTTATTATAGGACAGAGGAATGTAGACGGAGATTAAAAATGACTGGAATGTTTTGTCTTTTTCACTCTGAACTCGGTGTGCTGCAACCAAAGATTAGCAAATAAGTGTGTGTGTGTGTGTGTGTGGTACCAGCTGGTACAGTGAGGTCTGATTAATGAGTAACGTTCCCCTGCTGCACTCTGTTCTGTTCTGCAAAAAAAAAAGGGTAAAACCTGAATATTGACAGTTAACTGGGAGCAGGTTTTTATCTCCATCTGGGCTCAGTGTGGCACAACTTTCATCCCCATCTGAAATAAGCCTCCGTTTTCTGCAGTAGGATGACACACAGGTTGATCAGAAGTTGAGGCTGTGGTTTCTGCAGTTAAACTTTTCTGACAATACAAACTTAAAGGTCCCATGTCATGCTTCTCCGGTTGTTACCTGAAGGTTGTTATGCATGTAAACGGTCTGCAGAGTCACAAACCCTCAAAGTACACCCTGTAGCGAGTAAAACTCTAACACAGAAAAGACCTGTCTATGCTGCTCCAGAACGCCTCGTTGGAGATTTTTCTTTTTCTAAATGGACCAATCCGCGGAGCTCCTCACACACACACACACACACACACACACACACACACACACACACACACACACACACACACACACACACACACACACACACACACACACACACACACACACACACACACACACACACACACACACACACACACACACACACACACACACACACACACACACACACACACACACACACACACACACACACACACACACACACACACACACACACTCAGCCAGCCTTATTTTTCTCAGCTGCAGCTCCGCGGATTTCTCAGCCTGAGACAGCGGGCTGTGAGTCTGTGTGTGTGCTCGGGCCGGGCCTCGCCGTGTCCCGCAGACCCCACGCAGCAACCAGGAAACGACACCAGTAACCCAGCTCACACTGTCCGCTCCAGCAGCGAGACCCGCAACGTCCCGCCAACACGGCACCCAGACCCCACGCAGCATTCTCATCTGTTTGTCATTACTGGTGTCCTTTTCTGGTTGCTAACGCCATTGTAACACATAATCACTGATGTTCCGCTGTAACGGTGGTGGACTCATCAGAGCACAGTGGGCGAGCTGACCAATCAGAGCACAGTGGGCTCATAGGGAGGGGGGCAGGAGCTCCAACAAGCCGTGTAGGACAGAGAGTGAATACACATACTATACAGAGATGCTGTATGAGAAACCAATGTGAGTTTGGAACATTGAACAATGTAAATCTATTCTAGTAGACCTCAACAATGGAATTATGATCAGTAGAAATGGCCATGACATGGGACTTTTAAATTAAGTTTTTAATATCTCAATATCATATTATTTTCTTTCTCTCCCTGAGTTTTGTCGTGTTGGATTTTATTTTAATCATGTTTAACCTTCTCGGTGGCCCCTGTTATTTTTTAATTTATTATGTTTAGAAAATCAGCTCAATGAGACTTTAAATGTCAATCATGTTTTATTATCATTAAAGTTATTTTCCTCAGTTACATGCTGCTAAAGTGGACTCTCAACTTATGATTTGGGAATTAGACCGCGCCATAGGGTCACAAGTCCTTTAAAAAGACTTTTATATATGTATGTATTAAAATTCTCTCCTCCTTCTTCAGACTCTAAAGCCATCGTGGACGGCAACCTGAAGCTGATCCTGGGTATGGTCTGGACTCTGATTCTGCATTACTCCATCTCCATGCCAGTCTGGGAGGGTGAGGAAGAAGAGGTAACAGAAGATTTTATATTGACTTGTATCTGTCTCATGACTTCAGACAAAAAAAAATAAAGGTGCTATGTTGAATTATTTGAAAATTCTCTGAATGTCGTGTTTGGGTAATTGAATACTGAAGAACGTTGTGGATGGTCTCTCATTTTTTAAAGAGACATTACAATCTATACACTCATTGACAACACAAAGCAAACAAAACATGTTCATTGTTACATAAATACTTTTTTGAAATTGTATAACCTGAAAATTAAAAAGACAATACATCACAATTACAAACCGCTGTGAGAAAATTGACTGACTGGTGCTTGTTGTTGCAGGCAGAGTCAAAGACACCTAAGCAGCGCCTGCTGGGCTGGATCCAGAACAAAGTCCCTGACATGCCGATCAAAAACTTCAGCAAGGACTGGAGGAACGGCATGGCCCTGGGAGCGCTGGTGGACAGCTGCGCACCAGGTTGTGTGTGTGTGTGTGTGTGTGTGTGTGTGTGTGTGTGTGTGTGTGTGTGTGTGTGTGTGTGTGTGTGTGGTGTGTGATGTGTGTGTGTGTGTGTGTGTGTGTGTGTGTGGTGTGTGTGTGTGTGTGTGTGTGATGTGTGTGTGTGTGTGTGTGTGTGTGTGTGTGTGTGTGTGTGTGTGTGTGGTGTGTGTGTGTGTGTGATGTGTGTGTGTGTGTGTGTGTGTGTGTGTGTGTGTGTGTGTGTGGTGTGTGTGTGTGTGTGTGTGTGTGTGTGTGTGTGTGTGTGTGTGTTGTGTGTGTGTGTGTGTGTGTGTGTGTGTTGTGTGTGTGTGTGTGTGTGTGTGTGTGTGTGTGTGTGTGTGTGTGTGTGTGTGTGTGTGTGTGTGTGTGTGTGTGTGTGTGTGTGTGTGTGGTATATCTACCAAGTTTGACTCTTCTGAGGGATGTAGGCTTTTAACCCCTGTTGCTGGGGCTTCTTAATTTAATAATGATTTATAAATGACAAAAGTAAAACATATTTTATTATATTATCCATTTTATTATTATTTTAGGGAATATTTGTTATGTTCGTATGAACTGATCTTCTGTTATTTATGGCGATAATAAAACGTGTTCCTTTTTTAAACAAATAAAAAAGGTCTAGCTAACTATACGTAGGTCCAAGGATCGATATTGTGACATATCGTGTTTTACTATGAATACCACTGTATTTCTCTGGAAATATTTTATATCTTCCGTGCAGACCTCGCTCTGTTGTGTGGTTGACAGTGTGTGTGTGTGTGTTTGCAGGCCTGTGTCCCGACTGGGAGACCTGGGATCCAGTGAAACCAGTGATGAACGCCACAGAGGCCATGCAGCTGGCTGACGACTGGCTGGGCATCCCGCAGGTTAGATTCCTCTTTAAATGACACATTTACATTTGTTTACCTTTTAACTTTAATTTGTATTATTCAATATTTTTATTACATTTTTTAAATCATGACATACAGACTTTTCCCTTTAATTTAATGTATAACAGAAAATAACGAATATAACAAATTAAATTCCTTATTACTGTAGCCTTGAATGCTAACAATGCTAAGCTCTAATACAAGATGCAGGGGCTTTGCATCTTGCACTGTGCAAACAGCTGATGACCATCACATTATCTCTGAGTGGTGCAGCCTTTCAAAACAGAAGTAGCTCTGCTGTGATTTCCTCCAGAGGTCAACAGTCGCTGGCAGCTCCTCACAGATGCTGTTTGGTTTCCTGATTGTTAGCAGCAGAGGACACTCACTGAGTTTGTTTTACACACTTTTGTTTAAAGCAAGAGGATGCAACCTGAGCTGTATTATAATGGCTTATGTAACAAAAGATACTGTTCTTGGGGAAATTATTAGGAAAGTATTTATGTCACTTTGGAATAACTGCTGCAGATATTAAAGCTTATGTTTGTCACTTAACTTTTAAGCCCTTTCTTCAGTATGTAGAACAACTCCAGCAGTTATTAAGTGAAGAAATCTGATTTCATATTCATAGTGGAATTGTAATTTGTGCCACCGCTGCATTACTTTATGCTCTGCTTCCTGTTAGTCTGCTGACACCCACAGGAAGTCTCCTCCAGAGAAAACAAAGCTGACAAACCTCACACCCATGATGGTGGAAAATGAGTTCATTCCATTCAAAGATCTGACATTATAAAGAGTTTTTTTAATATCCGACAGCTGAGCATGTGAAGCAGAGTGATGTGTGGGGAAAATGACGTGATCAGAATAAGAGGGCAGTGACTGTATGGTGTGACAGAGTTCAGGACTTCCCTGCCACATACCGGCCTTTTCTGGTTTGGGCTCCTTGGTCTCAATGAAGGGAAATCTTAAAGGGAAAAGTCGCTCATTCTCATTTCACTTTGTATCGCTGCAATGTGGATAATATGTGTCAATAAATGATTTCTAGTGATTCACATCAACGGTTTACTTCAGTTAGTAGCTCTGGGTCTCGGCAACACGGGGAGAAGCAAAGTTTGTTGACATTTAGCAACGTTTTGGAAAGGTTTTTATGATCATCTTTAGTAAATGGTTCATTTATAGTAAAACACTAAATCCCTATTTTCCTGTGAAGAAAAACCTTGAAATGATCAATAGTGATGTTTCCTAATTATTATTAATGCTATAATTGTTATAATAGTGTTTTATCATTAGTTTGTCATGTGAAATAATTATATTTGATATATTGTATCATAGATGATTATAGACAGGGGTGCACATAACTGGTACGCAGGTACGGCAACAATCTGAAATGCGTACCGTCACTTGTGTCACAAAGCGCATTTGCGTACTGACGTACTTGAGAAGCTTTTCCAGAAGGCGGTTAGATCACCGGACGACAGAGTCGGTCTCCGTGTGCACAGACAGGGCTGCTGTTAACGTCGGTCTGTACAACGGATTTGTGCCAAAACTACGCCAACCGGCTGCGGAGGGAGACTCCCCCCCCCCCCCCCTTCACTGGAGAACTGCGCTAAAACAGCTGATCACAACGTTCACACTCTGTGGTCACGAAGTACTCCACTAGCCCCCCCCCCCCCGTCGACTTTCCTGAAAGTACTCATCGGAGTACCTCACGGAGAAAGTTATATGCACCCCTGATTATAGACAGCAACAATTTGATTTTGATTTTGATTTAAAGATCAAGTTGACTTTCAAGTTGACTTTCAAGTGGATATTCATGTTCTTCAAATCATTTCCAAAATATTACAATGATTGACCAGAAACCAATTACTATCGAATTAGAAAGTACCATCTGTCTGATTTTTTAAAATTTAAATAAAAGAGATTAGCCACGTACACACTGACAGTCCAAATCTGATTTTAGGGATTTTCAATAATTAACAGATTTATTTAAGTTTATTATCCTAATTCTGACCCGTCTTGGTGTGTGTGCAGGTGATAACTCCAGAGGAGATCATGGACCCCAGTGTGGACGAGCAGTCGGTGATGACCTACCTGTCTCAGTTCCCCAAGGCCAAACTGAAGCCAGGAGCCCCTCTCAAACCCAAACTCAACCCAAAGAAGGCCCGCGCATACGGACCAGGTACACACACTAAAACTGAAAAACAAAATGGTTTAATAGAACACACACTGTTCATAGTTCATTATATTTTTGCAGATGTATTTTAAAAAGTGTGTGTGACCTATTCTTCCGAGTGTGTGTATGCTAATGGTACACTGGTCTTACAATGTGAGGAAGTGAGCAGCTGTTAGTGTGAACAAAGGAAGCCACTCTGTATCTGACATACACACACCAATGGTAGCCTGCAGGAAGAAATTACCTTGAAATTGTTACAGGAAGCAGGACACACACTGGATTCATTTTCAAGTTTTTGTTATTTTATATAATTATTATTATTATTGTAAAATGAATATAGAATCAAGAGTTAGGGTGTATAAATATGAAAAAGCTCCAATATATAGTGCAGAAAGTAGAATATTGCCAAAAGTCTGTGTCTATATCTATATCTATATATATATATATATATATATATATTAATATATATATATATATATATATATATATATATATATATATATATATATATATATATATATATATATATATATATATATATATATATATATATATATATATATATATAAGTTAAATGTATATATATATCAGATTTATACAGACAGTTACACTGATAAATATGGATTGCCTAAAGGTCAGAACTGCAGTGTGGTCAGCAGTATAACTATCTATATGTATTGGTATGTGAGTGCAGATATACAGCAGGTAAGTGATGCAGTAAGTAAGAAGTAACATGAATGTTTACTGACTGTGTGTTGTTGTGTTCTCCTGCAGGTATCGAGCCGACAGGGAACCGGGTGCTGCGTCCGGCCGTGTTCACTGTGGACACGTTCAGCGCCGGGCAGGGGCAGGTCACCGTCTACCTGGACCATCCTGACGGCACCAGAGAGGAGGTACGGCCCCAGAATATCTGTAGAGATATATAGGAGCCATATTGAGAAACAATGTTTATCAACTCCCAGGTCTGTCAGTGATTAAAAACATTCAAAAAACTATCATGTGATAATCCTACAGATGGAAGAGGAGGTTTCATTTGAACTTTTGTTCATGTTAAGTTTGAGTTATTATCTTTACTTTAATATCATTTTTCATTACCATATTACTTTTATTTTCTATATGAGAATTTCTTCACATGGAAAAAAACATCTACATTTCTTAATTTCAGTAAAATGTTATTTAAAAGTATATTTGTTTGTGTTTCTTCTAATTGGGGAGATGTGATATAAGCTTATTTGGCTGTTCGTTTAGTCCTAAAAACAGTATTTCTCTGTGTGTCCAACAGCTGAAGGCGGAGCCTAATGAGGGCAAGAAGACGCTCAGCGTCACGTATATTCCTCAAGTCATGGGAACTCACAAGGTAAGGGTCATTTCTCTTTCTGTAAACATGTAAAAATACATTAAAAAAAAAAGTTAAATGTATTTAGCTCTTATTGTATTTTTTCTTTGCCATACAACTGAGTGAAATTATTTTTAAAGTCAAACTTAGCTACTTAACTCGTCCCTATTTAAGATCTGAAATTCTGTGGAAGGAAGTTTTATGATTATCATTCATGCTCTAACATCAATCTCATTTGTTTTTGTTTCCTAGGTAACGGTGATGTTTGCAGGCCAGCAGATTCCCAAAAGTCCCTTTGAAGTGAGCGTGGACAAGGCGCTGGGCGACGCCTCCAAGGTCACAGTGAAAGGCCCGGGAGTCGAACCTGTGGGCAACATCGCCAACAAGCCCACCTACTTCGACATCTACACTGCAGGTCAGACACGCACACACGCACACACGCACACACGCACACACACACGCACACACACGCACACACACACGCACACACACACACACGCACACACGCACACACGCACACACACCACCTCTGAGGGGGTTTCACACACAGAGACAAGTTGTCTTTATAGTAGCATTCCTTCCAATCTGTCCCTCAGACAGGAAGTGATTTCATAGACTGTAAACCACCTTTGAGATTGAAGCTTGGTTTTGTAAAAGACAACACACAGGCGGTCAGTGACTCGCCTCAGTTCCCCCCCGCTCATTGTTCTCTGTGTAACACACACCGGAGGCTTCTTGACATGAGTCAGCTCGTCAGGAATACCGAGTAAAAGCTTTTCCTTTCTGCTGTACTCATTAAAAATGAAGTCACAGTATTTATTAGTTACTTATTACCTTATTTATACAGCAGAAGGAGGAACTTTTTCTGTTACCATAAGATAAGATATATTTTTCATGTCCACAAATGGAAAACATTTGTGTGGACTCTGTCCCGCAGTTCCACTGAAAGTGAAATCATATTTAAATCCTTCGATAAGATTTAGGCTTGCTGTAGTGTTCCTGGAGTATCACTGAGATACAAATTATGTTTTTTTATAAACCTGCTGCATCAAGTTTTTTTTTTAAGATGTTAAGCGTGTCTTTCTTTTAATCTTTAAAAAAAAAAAAATCTTTTCACCCTATTTTTTTTATATACCACAACATTACCCTTTGGCCATGTACCTATTTGTTTGTAAGTTTAATAGCTCGTGTAGATTCAGCTCAGTGGGTGCCGGTAGTACAGAAATCGTAATGTTTTTTATTTTAAAGAATTTTAAAGATGGCTTTCAAAACTGTGCAGATCCCTCTGTCTCCAGAAAGACAGAGATTCTGCCACATTCAAACTAAACCTTCTCCCCCTGAATGGCAGCGCACGCTGTTAATGTTTTACCCCTGTTTAAATTACTATAATTCGGTATTTAAGTTCAATTTCCCGCTACTTTTTCTTTTGATTTCATGCTACTCTAGACTTATACTCCAATATATTTATTTTGAAGCTTTAGTTTAGCTTTTCTACTAGTTATTTTACATAAGACATACATTCACATTTATAAATAACTTCAGGTTAAGATGAGCTCCACCTTTATCAGCTGTGGTTGAGTGCTTTTACCTTTTCAATGCTAATACTATTGTACTTTTACTTACTTAAAAATGTGCAACTTTGACTGAACTAAAAGATCTGAGCATTTCTTCTACTGGCTTAACAAAAACAAAACATTTCTCTATCTGTTATCATATCTTCAGCATGGGTGATGTGTTTCCACCATTTCAATATATTCAAGTTACAGCAGTGACTGAGGTATAAGGCTGACTGCTGATGTTTCTGAGCAGGGGCCGGTACAGGGGACGTGACGGCCATGATCCGAGACCCTCAGGGCCGGCAGAACGTGGTGGAGGTGATGATGGAGGACAAGGGCGACAGCACCTACCGCTGCACATACAAGCCCACCCAGGCCGGCCCCCACACCGTCACCGTCAGCTTCGGAGGGGCGGGGATCCCCAAGAGCCCCTTCAGCGTGGACGTGGGCCCCGGTGAGTCCTTTTTTTAAGCTAATGAACTTGCAGTATCCTTGCTGTTTTATCTTCACGGCTGATTGCATGGTAAAATCATCATGGCCCTACTGAACCTTCCTGTAATGCGTCTCCTCTCCTGATGTGTGTGTTTCTCTGGGTCTGAGCAGCCTGCATGCCGGGGGCGTGCCGGGCCACGGGGCGGGGGCTGCAGCCGGCAGGAATGAGGGTGAAGCAGGTCGGGGACTTCAAGGTGGACACCAAGAACGCCGGCAGTGGAGAGCTGAAGGTCGTCGTCAAAGGACCCAGTGAGTGTTTACACTGCAGAGTTAATTAAAAGGACTACACCCAAACATTTGAAGCTTTATTGACAACATTGACATTTTAATCTGAAAGCGACAGTGGAATCTTTGGCACCTTTTTCTTTTTGTGCATGTCTATTGTCTCTGTTAAACTGGTATGTCTGCACAACTGCAGATAAAGATAGGACTACACTAATGTGTGTTATTTTTGGCTGATGCTGTTTGTACAATTAGTTCCCAGTGCTGCATAGGATTAGTTTAGACTTCCAATAACTCCAGAGCGCTGGAAAGTCGCCCCAAAATTGATGTAATTATTTCCAAAATTGCCACCAAAAAAGTGTTTCTAATGAAATATGGTATTGGTGGCATTTCTCCAGACATGGTTGATCCCCAGAGGATACATCTTCATTTCACATTTGTTTATGAAAGGAAAACTGATCATGCCTCTGCATTTACCTAAGATACTTTTTTCCTTTTTTAATAAATATTTTATAGGAAAAATAAAACTTCAATCAATGCCTATAAAGGCAAGGCAAGTTTATTTGTATAGCACATTTCAGCACAAGGCAATTCAAAGTGCTTTACAAAAATGAAAGACATTAATAGCATTTAAGAAACATGTTTAAAAACACTCATTTAAAAGCAAAGATACATGAATCACAGTTACAGTGCAGTGTGAGATACACACATCTGAACGAACCCCCCTTTGGAAAATTATAATCTGACCCCATGGTACCTTTTAGTTTTCGCCGAAAACTATTCCTCTTTTAATAAAGAGTGATGGCTAAAGAATTTATTTTCCAAAATGTCCGGATGTTCTCTAAACTGTGTGTGTGTTCAGAGGGCATCGAGGAGCCGGTGAAGCTGATCTCCAGTCAGGACGGTGTGTTCTCCTACGAGTATTATCCCAACAGCCCCGGAAAATTCACCGTCTCCATCACCTGGGGGGGTCAGCACATCCCCAAGAGGTGAGCTGTTACTGTCTGCGTGTGTGTGTTCAGAAAATGACCTCAGCACATGACCTCATCTGATCTGAATGGTTGGAGCCAAACACTGTGGGAGTGTTGTGTCCGATGTGTTCTTTATTTAGTCTCAGGCTGGGTCCTTTGTCCTTCATAGGGTTTTTTATCATATTCAGTGACCCTCATCCTGGTTTGGTTGACTAAACCAAAACAGTGCTTTGAAGACATTTAAGTCTTATCTTTGTTAAATAAAACTGTAAATGTTATTGTATAGTTTGAGTCAAAGAAATTCATTGAAATCCCTTGCAAAAAAGTACATTTGAGTCTTTTATCGTTGGAATATTTTAAACACTAGTCAATCTAGTCTAGCCAGAAAATAACATTACTCAAACCTCCCGAACCCTGGTGTTGTCATTGATGACTTAAACTGAAAAAAGTCATTTAGACTGTACAGAAAACAGAACTGCTGCATTGCAACAATTTGTAATCTTTTTATCAACGCATAAAATAGAGATTTTGTTCAAGTTTTTAAACTTGTATTTGCAGTAATATTCCACAATTATATTACAGCACAATACAGAAGTTAGAATTGAATGACATCGTTGCCCTCTCATCATAATCTTAGTCATGGTTTTTATTAACTAAATTAGAAGTGCGAGTATAATACAGGGAGTTCCGCATGTAAAAAGCAGCCAGATGTAATGGGACTCTCGACAGCAAGATGAGTAGCCACACTTAGACAAACAAGATCTGTATCTGAACTTGTACATGTAAGGGAAATATCTGTAAATATATAATTAAATGAAGCAAAACATTTCACAGAGTCATGTCCTGTGTCTAAATGCTGTTGAGTCATAATTACACACAGGCAGCCTCAGAGGTCAGACACAAGAGAACGTTCCCACAATGAAGAAGCAATCTTCAAATCTGTGGAGGTTTGGAGAAGCTGACCTTGAGCATGTTTCTGTTTTATTTCATCCAGCGCTGACTGTTAGGTCATCCAGATACTGTAACACACAGAGAACATGTTCTATCACTGTTTCTGATTATCTGCTGGACGGAGACAGAGACGGACAGGGAGAGAGTTTCAAGGTTTTTATCCAGATTATACAAATTAGGACAAGCTACCTGAAGTACTCAGGATTCAGGGTGTCATGTAAACACTTTAACTATGTTTATGAACGCATTTGTTGATACAAAACATAATGATTCAATTGTTTAAAAATCCAGACACATGTGCACAGATGAACAGAACACTTCATGTTAAATGAACAACCAGAGTTTTCTTGCTAAAAGTGGTGCAGCCATTTTAGTTTTTGAGTCCTGAGCTGGAAGTTCTGTGAGTAGGTTTTTCAGCAAAGCTCTTGCATACAACATTTTGGAAATCACTGGAAAAACGAATGATATATGAATAAGATCCCTGGTGGCTGCATTAGGAAGGAAGAAGAAAAAGGGAAATGTTAGGTTGCCAGTTTGAAAGGTAATGTCTGGATCATTAGTCGTGGTCCTGCCTTGTGAACGGCATGTTTCTTTTGGCATCACCTGGAAGATTGTCGATATCCACTTTGATCCATCTTCATTTTCTTTTAAATATAGACATATTATCTTTTCTAGCATTTGGACTACCTATGTTGTAAATGTATTATCTTTTTAATTTACACACGGCATCTATTGCACGTCTGTCCGTCCTGGGAGAGGGATCCTCCTCTGTTGCTCTCCCTGAGGTTTCTTCCATTTTATCCCATTAACTGTGGGGGGTTTCTTTGGGAGTTTTTCCTTTTCCGATGTGAGGGTCTAAGGACAGAGGGTGTCATATGCTCTACACACTGTAAAGCCCCCTGAGACAAATGTGTAATTTGTGATATTGGGCCATATAAATGAACTTTGATTGGTTGATAGTAGAAACAGATGATAATTTTATTTTAATTTTATTTAACCTTTATTGAGATAAAATCTCATTTTCAATGCTGACCTGGCCAAGAAGGCAGCAACGTTACACATAACACATAACACAAACATATAAAATACAGAGAACATAACAAAGAAAACAAAAGACGAAAAAGCAGTCACTACATTGTGCACATTAGGACAATAAAAAAGTACACTACTTGTTACTGCAAGAGCAGCTGGTGGTGAGGACTTCAGACAACTTCAATTGTATACATGTACTACATTTGCTAAATACCTGGTGGAATAAGTATGGTTTCATTTGATATTTAGAAAAGTAAAAGGTGTCTGTGTGTGTTGTATTTTGTTGCACTGTTAGAGGAGACTGGGACTTTAGATTTTCATTGCCGACCTACACTGTGGCCTTTGTGCACATGATAGTAAAGCCTTTGAACCTGGTGAACCTCTGGGCCTGCACATCTGATGCAGCTGTGCAGCCTGCTCAGAGGCTTGGTCCAGATGTGGCCGAGTTAAATGTCCAGCCTGTCAGAACTCCCAGCTACAGGTAGCCCGGAGACCTCAGTGTTCATACGTTACAGATGCACCAGGACACGGATCGTCTACAGAAGGCTAAATCACAGATGAGAGAAAGCCGGTTTAAACATCTGTACAGCTGTGTGCTCGGAAATGCACGTTAGGAAGGGAAGTGATATAACACAGTGTTTATAGTGCTCACTCACACAGATGCACCAATTAAAATACAGCACGGATGGCATCGGTGGTGCTAAACATATGTTTTACTGCTGAAATATTACAAAACAAATATTATTTTGATGAAAATAGTATACAATAAATGAATTAGAATAATACTTATTATGATGAATTATAAATAATTATATTGTTACTATAACATATTTATTCGAGTAGGGAATGGCATTGTTGTGGTATATCAACTGCCATTGTGCCCTGTTATTTTTAATTGTAAAGCACCCTGGTTAACGCTTGTTCTATTTAAATTGGCTTTTTTTAAACGGTTGATTTCCTTATTTTTAGTAGTAACAGCAGAAGTAGTAGTAGTTGGTGTCGGGGGACGTTTTGGCAGACACTTTAAAAAAGTTCGACAAAGACACAATTGAAGGCAAGAGAGAAAAAAGTAAAAAGGAAAGTGTGTGTGTGTAATGAAGACAGTAAATCCCAACAGACAGTTTTATTTGGCGTGAAGCTAGTTTCTGAATGCACATGAACACCACACACACACACACACACACACACACACACACACACACACACACACACACACACACACACACACACACACACACTACTATGTGATTTATGCTTTCTGACAGTATTTTTCTTCTTTCAGTCCATTCGAGGTGTCAGTAGGTCGTGAAGCGGGGTCTCAGCAGATCAGGGCCTGGGGTCCTGGCCTGGAGGGGGGCATTGTGGGTAAACCTGCCGCCTTTGTAGTGGAGTCCGTGGGCACTGATGTTGGAGTGCTTGGTGAGTTATTCTTGGTTTTACTGCTGGACACAATTCTGCTAACCCCCCACTTTACATTCAGTCTAATCCCACCTTCTGTGTCTTCAGGGTTTGCCATCGAGGGTCCTTCTCAGGCTAAGATCGAGTGTGAGGACCAGAACGACGGCTCCTGTGATGTCCGATACTGGCCGCTGGAGGCCGGGGAGTACGCCGTCCACGTGACCTGCGATGAGGAGGACATTGAACACAGCCCCTTCATGGCCTTCATTGTCCCCGACAACAACGCCAGTGACTCTGAAAAGGTCAGAAAGACACTAAATCTGATGAAGCGCTGCAGGTTGTATTTTTTGAAAGCCATCTTGGGCTGGGCAATGTTGACAAAATCACAATATTTTTGACCAAATACCTCAATATCGATATTGTCATGATCTTAAAGAATTGACTATTGATGGGTTCAATACATTTTAACATAATGAGATGATAAATAATCATTACTACTGATGAAAAAGTGATAGAGTGGTTATAGGAAAAAGATAGAACAGTCTGGAAAGTTGAAATAATGACATCACTTTACTGTAATGGTTCCTTTAAAAACCAGGAGACCCTTAATCAATATAAATATATTACGCTATCCGAAATCTAACACGATATCCAGCCTCGTATTTCAATTAATATAACATCGATATATTGCACAGCCTTAAGGCCAACCCGGAAGTAAGTATCCCACAATTGCAATTGCAATACAACTCAAAATTATCTTTGAAAAGTTTATTTTTTTAAACATTTGAACCTGGCCGGATTTCCGCATGATAATTGTAACTGCAGAAATGCAATTTAGCTGTTCATCATGGTCTGAGTCTGATGTTTACTGAAATCTTCTTGATTTCTATTGTAAAGTTTGGAAAACAAAACAAACTTTTATTCCACATGTGAAACAAGAAGGTAATAACGCCAGAGTATTTTAAGCTTGATGATATAAAACTAATAACTTGACATGGTCAAAAAAACAAATCACTTTACAGCCAGTTTAGCTTCCACTCGATTCCAAAATATCTGATGAACATGTGCAAGGGTGCACACTCTTAAAGTACCAATGCTCAATTACAAATATATATATATTCTTTCTAGACATACAATAATAAACTTAAACTCAAACCTCAATTAAAAACATCCTTATTTAGGATTATTACATTACTTCTTATATACTCAAATTAGAAAAGTTATAACGCCAAAAGTACATATTCAAAGAAATGAACAGGAATACTATGAGAAAGTCTTTGCCTCTAAATATGTATGTATGAAATAATCAGTGTTGGTTCTGTGGTTGTAGGTTCAGGCTTACGGGCCGGGTCTGGAGAAGACCGGCTGCCTGCTCAGCCAACCGGCAGAGTTCACGGTCAGCGCTAAGGATGCTGGGAAGGGACCTCTGAAGATCACGGCTCAGGTACTGACACACTATAAGACTTTCAGAGATGTCAGAATACTTATTTGGTTATTAGTTGTTTTCAAATTGTTTGCACATTACACTAAGGATCTACAATAGGGGGTCAAACAATACAAGACCGTTCACAAGGAGGACATTCACAAGACTGTCTACACTCTAATCCACATTTGGTGAAAAAACACACACGAGTTACGGAAAAGAAGAAAGGCCTCGCGGGAGAGTTCTTTCTGACAAAAGCGATCCACATTTCTTGTGTGGTGATTAAGGAAGAAAAAGAGAAGGTGTTGAGGTGTTGCTGCGTCTCTGCTCTAACTGCCGCTCTCAGACAGACGTGTGACGCACCTTATTTGCTTGTGTTGTTTCTCATAGCGTCTTATGTTTGCTGCTTCTGCATCTTAAAATTGTGAATTTCTGATACTGCCTACGATTAAACTCTGACTATTTTCATTATCGATGAGTATATTGACTGTTTTTTATGTGCTTTATAAATAAGATAATTTAATCATTCTCGTGGTAGCAATAGTTGTTGGAGTATTTTTCATGGAAACTTTTGAAAGCAAACAAAGACACAATTGAAGGTAAAATAATAAAAAAAAGTACATTCAATCTGACACACACACACACACACACACGTAGAGGCAGCAAGGAAGTTTGTTTGTATCGTTCTTTAAACCTAAAAACACTTGTAAGCAGTTTGGATTTCAGTGTTTTATTTTGGGAATCGTAAACCGTAATGTAACCTGACCTCTGTCTCTCTGTCTCTCTGTCTCTCTGTCTGTCAGGACGCAGAGGGACTTCCTGTGGAGGTGAAGGTGAGGAGTAAAGGAGAGGGGCTGTACTCCTGCTCCTACACTCCCACCTCCCCTCTCAAACACACCTTGGCCGTCACCTGGGGAGGAGTCAGCGTCCCCAACAGCCCCTTCAGGGTAAGCAGCCAATCACAGCTCCTCGTTAAAACAGGAAGAGATGTCCCGCCCAAACCCCAGGACCCGTTTAAGACAGGAAGTGCTAAGGTCATCCAATCAGAAGCTTTAGTTAAGGCAGAAAGTTTCAGCGTTGTCCAATCAGAGTCAAAGGGGAGTTTTAAGACGGGGCAGGTGAATATTAAAGAAGGGGGCAGTAAAACTAAGAAGCCTCTGGTCATCATCACTACATACACTGAGCAGAGGTTCAGCTACTAGATCAGCTGCACTGAAGTCAGTTCTTAGAAGAATGCAAAAAAAGGGAACTGCTACCTCCGCGACCCGACCACGGATAAGCGGGAGAAGAGGGATGGATGGATGAAACATGTATCTTCTAGATTTTCATGTCCTACCCCTTTTAACTAAAATGTGTGCTACCGTTTTCACACTTGGAGCAAATCGATCAAATAAAAAATCTATAAAAACAAGACAATCTAATCAGAATACAACGAGAAAAACAACATATATCATAAAAGGAATACGGTACTACTTGAAGAGACAAAGGAGGACTGCCTCAGGTAAAAACAAACATAATCAAGAAATTGATTCAAAAAATACATGAAGAAATATTTCCACCATGGGACTTCACTCACTGCCCCCTTTTGAAGCAGGTCACAGAACTACTGCGGCCTTCAGGTAACAATACACCTCTATGTATTTGTGCTCATTCTAATGAAATAAAAACACAACAATTCTTAGTTTAAGGTGATTATATACTCATGAGAACATAGTTAGGAATAATATAGTAAATGCCTGCTGATGGATCCCCCAAAACCCTCTACACTGGTTCCATAATGGACATCACTCAGATTAAAAGCAATTTCTTTTCATCTGTTTCTCCAAAAAAAAGTGTTTATTACAAAATCTTTAAGTATTATTTTGAACAAAACTATACCAAATACTACCCTGTTAGCATATCAAACATCTGCTTGGTAGCTAATATAAAACGTAATACTGTATCTGCAGTATTCTACGGCGTTTAAAAACGTATTAGATTGTGTTGCCAATAATTCAATAGAACCACAAGTTATGTATTATTAAGCCAGCAGTACAGCATATGTTAATCAGTTGTTTATGTGCCAAAGTGATATTTAACTATTAGTCTGTGTTAATTTGTTTGATATCTGAACTGCATACCTGACTTTCATCATAGAAATGTTCTGTTCTAAATAAGCATGACTGCCATCACTAACACTACTGTTTAAGATACAAAATTGCAATTGCAATTTATTTGTTCAACAAACCCAACTGTATGTCTTTTACATAATTTTCACATTTTATATAATAGATAACCACACTGTAGGCTCTGTCTGTGCACTGTTATAACAACCTTTGGTTTGTCTTTTTCAACCTCAACAAGCATGTTTTGTATGTAACCCCCACATGTCTTCCCTGCACTGTAACCCCTGCCCATGCACCTTTTCTTTTTATACTTTTTTTTACCAATACACCAAAACAGCATAGATTTATTTCTTAATGAAAATAAATCTTAATGCTGTTGAATGAAAACCTTTTCACAAGTTTTAACATCATGTGTTATAATTAAAGACTTATTGGCAATTAATCTAACAAGCATTAATTTAGGATGCTCTGTTATATCCGCATTTATGATGATATGATTCAAGAATTTAAATATGTTGCTCCATTGTATTTAATCAAAGTCTAATCATAAAACCAAAACGTAGTATATTCATTATATACAACAAATCAAAGTGGAAAAGTTTTTATTTTACAGTTGAAATGCACTTACCAGTCTTCTTTGCAATGTACCCACCTTTTTCATTTTTCAGATTTAGAGTTTTAGCTATGAGGTCGTTTACCTTGTTTATCAGCCGTCTTCCCTTCTCCCAGTTGTTAGGGTTTGTTTCCACCGCAGGACAAATAAGTCTCATGAGGAACTTCCTGTCTGAATATATGTTTCTGTGCTGCTAAGGAATTTATGATGATGCCAACCGGCTTCAGGACTTGGCCAGGACTTTCCTCTCTTTGTGTTGAAATATCAGAGGTACAAAGTCCAAAAGTTTATAGAAGAACATAGTTGATGCAGCTTTGGAGCTTTTGGAGACTTTGCAAGTGACATAATGAGGGTTAACATCCGGACACTGCAGTTTAGTATATCTGTTCAAAGCTTTTCTTAGCAGTCGTTGTAGAACAATAACATTCTACTACATAGAGAAATGCAAGTTCATCCTGGTATTTGCACTGGTCCACATAGCATTTCAGCAGAGAAGTTTGTACTTGTCTGAAAGTTATTATTTTAAAGTTTAGAGCTGATGTCACTGTGATGGATCGACAGGCTTGTTGTGAGCTGCAGCAGCCTGCAGGCATCCGCTGCACCTTTTTCCAGCTTTATGTTGACACAGTACGTGAATAAAAAGTAAACAGTCACACCCAGCTCTCAGCACCGCCGGGAACACAGCAGCCACACCTTTTCATTAAAAGTGGGAAGATGGTGAAGGTGGTGTGGACAACACGTGTTACATGTAGCTGCAGTTTTAGTGGTTGTCCTGATTCTCATGGAAACAGAATATTTACTTCTACTCACAAGATTTATGAATTTAATTTAAGAGGTTGACTGATACAACTTTGGCTGCCCTTGGTTTTTTGTTTTTTCACTTAAAAGAACCTGGAAGACGGCTGATAAACAAACGTACTGCTTCTCATCTTTGCAAGTCAGAGAAATGATCTGAAATGCCTGACTGGCTTACCGTTCTTATATTTTAATTAAGGGTTGACTTTTGATCTATGTAATACTTTTAAACAAAAATATTTGTGAACGATTTTATTCCCTGAACTTGTTTTACCAAAGTTTAATTTAGTCAAATATGTTTTCTTGCATGCCTACATGAAGTGCATGCATTTTTTATTAGATTTTTTGTCTCACGGTGAATCTGTAACTAACATGTTGACTGACACTAACCATCAGCTGTACTAAAACCAAAATCATTTCTATCAAGTTGAATCACAAGTCGAAGTTAGTGTGGTTTCAAAATAAATAAATTCTGACATTTCATTTCAATGTTTTACTGTGTTGTTTGGATCATTTGCTATATATTTTGCTGATATGCATGACAGTGATGTTTTTTTGTATTTTTCCATCTTGGTAAGTTATGTAGGACTAGATACTCCTACATACAATTCACTTTTAGCTGTAGTTATGTGAAGTGATAATTATGTAAAATATAACCCTCTCGGCTCAGTGTTTGCTGTGTTTTTATTTAAAACTAGTTTACTGACTCCACCCTGCAGCATGTGTCTGTACTTGAAAGTGCTGGTTTTCCAACAGTTCTTGTCGCATGTTTTTCAACCAACTTGCTGTAGAACATGCTTTGAGCAGCTATAAAAGACAAAACTAGAGCTTATTCATTTAATTACTAAATGACAATAATGGTACTGTTATTATTTTGGGTTCATTATGAACTGACCACTCTTGTAAACAGTGTTTTAGAGGTACATTTTAGACAATGTAAGTTATAGATGTGATCTGCTTTTACTTATTCATATATGAGTTCTTTTTGTCTCTCTATATCAATCAATCAGTTCTTCATTGGTGCCTCTAGAGCTGCAGCCGGGAAATCAGCTGATGAGAAAACAAAGAGAAAATGCTTTACATGAACAGTATTGAGTTTTTTTAACAGGACAAGCCTCTTATCCATTTTAAATATATGTCTAAAGTTCTGATGCACAAATTATATTAATGTCACTTGATCTCAGGGGCTTTACTTTAATTCTTGTCTCGGAACTCCTGTCCAAATATGGAATACATTGATTTAAAAAAGAAAAATGCTTTATATGGCTGCTGATATGAATATATAAATATTAATATGGTTGAGTTAAATCAAGCAGCGTACAAAATATAACCTGTTTGAAAATGTGAAATATATAGTAAAAAGTAAAAAAGTAGAAAAGTAGGGGATCAATGATGGAACCCTGTGGCACTCCATATTTATGTGGTTGTTTCCGATGAATGATTAATATAGGAAAACATTTGTAACTGCTGTGCTGTTATTAACATTGCATTATCTTAATGATGGAATAATGTCAAATAATCGTGTTAATAGTCTCCTGTTTTGGTGCTTGTAGGTGAACGTGGGTAAAGGCAGCCACCCCAAGATGGTGAAGGTGTTTGGTCCTGGAGTGGAGAGAACTGGTCTGAAGGCCAACGAGCCAACACACTTCACTGTGGACTGTTCAGGAGCTGGAGACGGTGAGATGAGACAAAGGCACACACAAACACACACATAGTGTCAATTAGGACAGGATATCCCCACATACAGTTTTATTTGGTGTTATATCAGTTTCCATCTGTGTCAGAACAACACAAACATTGACCTTTAAAATGTGGTCTGTGAATGGTTCACACACACACACACACACACACACACACACACACACACACACACACACACGTTTCCCCCTGGTATGTACTAGAGGTGATCTCAAAGCAGAAACATCCTGAAGGGAAATTCTTTACTTTGACCTTCCTGAGCAGATCACACTCACACATGCTCACACTTCACCATCTACCTGCACTAACCAAGTACAGAAATATATTAAAGAGCAACCTAACAAAACCGTTTGTAGTTGTACATGCAGGAATACATGCAAATGACTTGCATTACAATGAGCTCTGCTGTCCAGGATCTATTTAGTGTCATAAATTCACTACACGTACAATTTAAAAAGAAAGGGGAAAAAGCATCTAAAGTTTGTTTAAAATTGCTTCCAGACTGTTTAAGACGGAGGAAGACTGGTCTCTGCCTGTCAAAGCAGCCTTTGAATCTTCACCAATTGCTGCAGCAGAATAATCCATTTATCCACTGTTAATCCCTGTTTTCAGTACATTCCTATAAGCTTCTTAAATATGGAGATTCCCTGCTTTTTTCCCTATTTCATATCACCATATCAACATAATATCTTTGTGTTTTGGCCTGACCAAAGACATACACAGATCCTAACTTGGACTTGAGAAACTGGGATGGACATTCCTCACTTTTTCCTGACATTTATTAATAATAATAATAATAATAATAATAATAGTTTGTTGCAACCAGTTGTGGCATGTAACCAAGTGCTGTACTTAAGTATAATTTTGGGGTACTTGTACTTTACTTCTGTGTTTCTCTTTTCTGCTACTTCGTACTTCTGCTCCACGACATTTCAGAGAACTTTTTATACTTTTACTCTACTGCAGTTATTTGACACATGAAGTTACTTTTTACATGGTTAACACGATATATATGTACTACTAATTAGCTCAGTACTATCTAAAATGTTCTCCATATTGACCAATTATATCAATTAATGAGTACTTTTACTTTAATACTTGAGTACCTAACTTTAACCCCTACTTAAGTACAGTATCAGTACTTTTGTCCACCATTGGTTGCAACCCCCAATTCCTTACACTCTCTTACAGAGCTGCAGCACATACACTACATGTATCTTGCTCATTCACCTCATGTAGCTCCACATAATGTAGCATATTCAACACATTTAGTTGTTGAGGTGAGGATATTATGGAACAAACAAAAACACAGGAGAACTTTAGGTTTGTTAGAAGCTAAAGCAAGAGTGCGGGTCTTTAATATATAAGTGGATCTCTGTTACAGTATACTTTTGGGACTTAAAGTTCATTATGTTTCTAATACCACTGTACTTTTTAAGTAAGTATTTGAAAGCAGGACTTTGAGTTACTGAATTTTTTTAATAAATTGATGAGCAATCACTGAATTGTTACTCAGCAAAGCACCAATAGGCTCCTGCAGGTAGTGAGTATTTGATACTGAAAGGATTTTCCTTTTATGGTCTGAATGTTGAAATATTGCGTCACCTGAAGTTGATCTTTCCGGTTTTGATTGCTTAAGATGTACAGTGTTAACACACACCCTCTGTGTGTCCATTCCCCTGGGGGAAAGTCCTATAAGAGAAAGCCGTTTTCAGGTTGCCAGTGTTTGAGGAATCTCCCATACTCTGAATTCCTCGGCTGTGATTGACGGCTCAGTGCCGCTGATGTAAACTCTTTGATTGTGCTGCGAGGTTTGTTCATTGTTTACATTAGAGAGTCGATGACATGTAACGTCCCCAGGCAAGATGTTTCTGACATGAGTTAATGCAATGAAGGAGCAGCAGTATACTGGATCCCTTTAGCACCTCCCTGTGGCAGACAGTGTCACAGAGGAAATTCTTGTAACTAAAATAGAAAAGTAACGTGCAACATAAGAATAAAAAACAATAGAGTATACATTATATAATATTTATTACACAAAGAAAAATATATAAATGCAGTATTATATGTGAACTTAAGTAAAACATTTAATAACATCAAATAGATTAAGCACATTAAAATAATAATTATAAAGTGAAGTATCATAATACTATAACAATAAAAGTAAGATATATTTATTGAAATTATATTATAATATTTACAATATAATACTATTGTAAAGAAAGATTCATTATCTTTTAACAATGAAAATATAATGAAGCCATTGCTTCTATTTCCAAATAAATATATTAATTTATATATATTAATCTGTCTGCTTATCTGTGCAGTGTAAATTAAATAATGTGTGTTTTTGTGTTCCTGTAGGTGATGTCAGCGTAGGTATTAAGTGTGAAGCCAACATGGTCAGTGACAAAGAGGCCGATGTGGACTTTGACATCATCCCCAACGACAACGACACGTTCACTGTCAAATACATGCCTCCTGCTGCAGGAAGACTCACTGTGAAAGTCCTGTTCACTGATAAGGTACACGCACAAACAATCAGAAACACAAAGATGTTGATGGTTTGTTCTTATGAAAATCAATGTGACTTTTTTTTTCCCTACAGGAAGTTCCACAGAGCCCTTTCACCGTGAAGGTCGAACCCTCTCACGATGCATCGAAGGTCAAAGCAGATGGTCCTGGTCTGGCTCGCACTGGTGAGACGCACACGCACACGCACACGCACACGCACACGCACACACACACACACACACACACACATTTTGAACTTTTTTGTTTTATTAACAGTTCTATATTGGTTCTTTTAAAAAACAAACAAATCTGATTTCGATGATGATCAAAAAACTCCTCAAAGTTTTTCGGGCATTTCCAGATGCAAAGAAAATATTTTAAATGAACTGTTATCAAACTTAATGAAAGACACATTTAGCAATGGATGCACTTTGCAAATGACAAGGTAGTTCAAAATGTAAACCATACTTTGTTGTTTGGTTTTTACCTCTTCACAAACTAAAATAAAAATCCCACATGCACGGCTTACTTTTGGCCATAAATGTTTCCAGAAACACATTTCCAAGAAACATTTTCACAATATAAGCGATATTCCTATATCAACCACTATGAGTGAAGATTTTCAAATATTGGAGTTGACATCCCAAGGTTTTGTTGTTCAATCAGTGACTAGTATCCACCAAGTGTCCATTGCTGGTAAGGGACCACTTGCTTCTAAAAACCACCCCTGTGTGCACTTAACATAGTTTATTTAATTAGTTTGACCTTGTGTCTGTTCTCTCTCTCCCTGTGCAGGTGTGGAGGGCGGTAAGCCGACTCACTTCACAGTGCTGACTAAAGGAGCCGGTAAAGCCCCGCTGGATGTTTCCTTCTCCTCTCCCGTGAACGACTTCGACATCATCGACAACTACGACTACTCCCAGACTGTCAAATACACACCTGTACAACAGGTACGCCAGAGAAATAGCAGCACATGAGGATATATGTAACCGATGCATTAAACAGGCTCCTGATCAATAGCTGCGTAAAATACACACCTGACCGGCAATCGGTAGAAAAGGTACAATAAATGCACATGTGGGATTTGTGTCTTTTATCAGTCAAATAAGATGATAGTAAGTTTGATCACTACTGTGCAAATCAATCTTTTCTATGTCCAATCAAGTCAATTCAATGGTTTAGTCTGCCTACCTTTTATATTTTCCTATTTACTGTCGATATATTTGTATTTTTGCTTTATTATCGATTTTCTTGAATTCCCTTTGCTGCTTTAACTTCACATGTCCCATCTGTGGGACTGATAAAGGATGATATCGCTTATCTTCAGTGTTGTATCTGCATGTGTCATGTGTCTGCAGGGGGAGCAGAAGATCGTGGTGACGTACGGAGGAGACCCCATCTCAAAGAGCCCCTTCACAGTGGGCGTCGCTGCACCGCTGGATCTCAGCAAAGTCACCGTGGACAACCTGGAAGGAAGTAAGACATCTCTCTCTCCTTCCTGATGGCTTTCTGTCCAAGTTAAAAAATAATTATCAAAAAATGGAGAAAAGTCTTGATGAAATTAAGTAAATCAGGGTCGTGGTTCATTCAGGGTTCTTACGGTCATTAAAAACCTGGAAAAGTCATGGAAATTCAAAACGCTAATTCCAGGCCCTGGAAAAGTTATGGAAAACAATATTTTTCCCAAAGTTTTGGAAAAGTCATGGAAATGTAACTAAAGTTGCATCAAATATAATTTATATTTTATCTAATCGCCGAAATAGTAATATTATCATGATAATAAATACTGTATCGTATAGTAATTAAACATAAAATGGCATTTAACTGACGAGGTATTTTGCTGGTGAGAGATTTGAGTTGCTTTAGCCTGTAGAAGCTAGTAAGCCTACTTGATTTGTTTTAGATAGGCACAACATGTTTCATATGCAGACCTTATTTTCCTGTTCCATGTTCAAATAAAACATTTTCAGTGGTACCGCTGAGAGGGAATCATTTTTTTGCTCATAGAAGGTAAAGGTAAAGGTCATGGAGAAGTCATGGAAAAGTCATTGAAAATCATTGGTGAAAAAGTGTATGAACCCTGTTCATTACTTTGTAAACAAAAAGCTCAACAGTAAGGTATAAGTCCAAATGCATGTGTTTTTGAAAGTAGGACAGGTTAATGAAATGTTTTAATAAAGTGTTGCTGTTGTGTAATGCACCACCAGAAAATGTATTAGATTGATATTGTTACTAACATGATGAATAAATAATAAATGTGTTTCAGGAGCGGAGGTGGATCAGGAGCAGCAGTTTATGGTAGACACAAAGGGTGCAGGAGGTCAAGGTCGTCTGGAGGTGACAGTGGTGAGTCTTCAAATCAATATCAGCTTGGGTATTATCCCAGGGTTAGTTTACATAAAGGAAAGTATAAAAAAGTGTTAAAAATGTTACTTAATGAATTGTTCTTGCTTGTGTTACCAGCTGAGTCCCAGCCAGCGGACGGTGAAGTGCAAAATGGAGCCTCAGCCCGGTAAAGCAGACGTCAGTGTGGTACGCTACACCCCCACAGAAGAGGGGGTGCACGCTGTCAACGTGTCCTACGACGGACACCCCATCCCTGGGAGCCCCTTCCCTGTGGAGGCCCAGCTGCCCCCAGACCCCAGCAAGGTCAGCATCTTTCTCTCTACAACCATGTTTCTTTTCCTCCTAAAGGACCACCTTAGATCCTAACAATTCTTTAAAAAAAAATGTTTAAAACTTTTAATTTGTTTATTTTTATATTTATATATATATCATTTATATTTTCTACAATAGAAATATTATCCTCCATGATTATGGGCACATTTTTTTTTATGAATACCAGCATGAAAATGGGAAAAGAAATCACAAAAATGAAATAATCAATTTTGTAACAGTCTATTCAGCCAATGTCCTTTATTACAGAAGAGTAAAGAGTGTTTATTATATATAATAATGCATGTACATTAATATCTGCAGTGTAAATCTATCCAACTAAAGTATGTTATTTCCCCCCCCCCCAGGTGAAGGCGTCCGGCCCCGGTCTGAAGGGGGGTCTGGTGGGAAACCCTGCAGAGTTCTCCATTGACACAAAGGGCGCGGGCACCGGGGGTCTGGGTCTGACAGTGGAGGGCCCGACAGAGGCTAAGATAGAGTGTTCGGACAACGGGGACGGGACCTGCTCCGTCTCCTACCTGCCCACGGAGCCCGGGGACTACCTGGTGAACATCCTGTTTGAGGAGGTCCACATCCCCGGGTCGCCGTTTAAAGCCAACGTCCAGATGCCCTTTGACCCCTCCAAGGTGGTGGCGTCGGGGTCGGGCCTGAAAAGAGCCAAGGTGAGCAGCCGGAGAGGAAATAGAAGGAGAATTATGCTTTTTTTAGAAACCTGATTAAACATTCAGCGGTTTAAATATGATATTGGATCAATTTTGGATCATTTTAGAAATGATGTTGTTATATGATTTGTTTTTTTCCCAACCGTTTGCTAGTACCTTTTCATTTTAGACCCTCACTCTCACTAGATCATAGTTATCATAGTATTTAGAGTCTCCCACCAAACCAAACTGCTGCTTTTTTATTAAAACATAATCATGATCCCATACGCATACAAGTATTGAGTGAAACTGAGGGGGATGAGGGGCATCTTTTTTTCAAACTTTGTCTGTTTGTTCCAAGCCCCCAACCCAGATCATAGCAAATTGTCCAAGAGGTTCCAGTGTTCCTGTGTTGATTGTGAGGAGATTATACGAAGAAAGGTTTAAAAAAATAAAACAAGGGAATATTACTCCTTCTCACTTCTCAGTTAAGATTTGCGCAGATGAATTTCGACACTTGGCCTCTTTAAATGACAAGCTTTCACTTTTAGATTATAGATAAAGCTTGTGGTGTGTGCAGGTTGGAGAGACCAGTGTGGTGAATGTGGACTGTTCCCGGGCCGGAGCGGGACAGCTCAGCCTGGAGGCGGCGCTGGACACTCCCCCCACCAGCCCCACGGGGTCTGCCCCCCGCACCGGTAACACCAACACTGTTCTCCCTCACCAGTAACCAGTATACACACTGATAGCTGTGAACGTCCTTAATGGTGCACTTCTTTATACATGTTAGATATAGTTCACTGCTTCCAGGCAACCATTTGGTGTAAAGGTTAATTATGTTTGTATTCCCGCATTAAATAGTCAGTGTGATAAAACAAAATGTCTGGAAAAAATTGCCAAATTAATGTATTTGTTATTGTATTTTTTTCTGGTGTCAAAATGAACACATTAATGAATTCAAGCAGCCAGTTAGCCAGATCTTGCTGGGATCAGGAATGTCAAAATGGTATCCTAATTTGGAAAAGTCTTAATGTTCTCCTGAAGTTCTCTGACTCATATTGTGCTAAATGAAAACAAATGGCTGTCTGACTCTGGCAGTGGAAAACTGCAAGCATAGTCCTTTAACTAGTTGATAAAAAGCCCCAAATTCTACAAAACTATTTGTGTTAATTATACAACATAGTCGTCTTTTACATATATTCTTTTGTTGGTGGTTGAAGTTTTATTAAGTAACTCTGAGTTTTTGTGACATTCAGACAGTCTTCAGTGCTCTGATATTAATATAAAAGAACTGCACTGTGTTGCTGCAGGTGTTAAAGCTAAGACGGAGGTGTTGGACAACAAAGACGGGACGTACACGGTGACCTACGTCCCGCTGAGCGCCGGCATGTACACGCTGCTGCTGAAGTACGGGGGCAAGGCCGTGCCTGGGTTCCCCGCCAAGGTGACGGCGGATCCTGCCGTCGACACCCTCCAAGATCAAAGTGTTCGGACCCGGAGTGGAAAAACAAGGTGCAGTATGGGTAATCTGTTGGTCAATGTGTATCTCTGTTTAGTAAACTACATTTTGTTTGAAAAATCTGTGGACTGTCCCATTAATCATGCTTTTCTCCTCCAGCCATTTTCAGAGAAGCCACCACAGAGTTCACGGTGGACGCCCGTCCTCTGAGCCGGCGGGGGGGGGGACCACGTGAAGGCGGAGGTGAAGAACCCGTCCGGAGCGCTGACGGAGTGTCAGATCACCGACCGGGAGGATGGCACATACAGCGTGGAGTACACGCCGTTTGAGAACGGTAACACAAACCGAGACTGAAAACACTCATCAGGTGGACTCAAGTCACCGGACCTGAACTCCAGTCAGAATACAAACGAAAACAAATAAATCTAACAAGATTCACTGTTTTAAAACTAGTTGCAGTATACATACTGTGCGGGTGGAAAATGGCTTTGCATTTGGTTTACAGCGCTTTATGACTTGACAGTTTAGGACTTCGGACCTTTGTGCAAAGTCTTAAGACTTATTTGCGCCTTGCAAAACAATGAGGTGGTCCCATCTCTGCTAATCATAAATCTGTAATCATTACCAAATGATCTAACTGTAACCTATAACAACCCATTGTGCTGTGATCATCAGCTCCTCTATGTCCTGGTGTGTGTTTCAGGCGTCCACAGCGTGCAGGTCTTCTACGACGACACTCCGGTTCCTAAGAGCCCGTTCAGGGTGACGGTGGGGGAGGGATGTGACCCCCGCAGGGTGGTGGCTACCGGCCCCGGGCTCCAACAAGCCCTGACTGACAAGACCAACAACTTCAACATTATCACCAGGTACTGTCGGGAGCGGACGAGTAGAGAGTAAAACGTGAAGTTCGTGAAAGGTGAACATTCTTTAACTTGAGCTCAAACTAATGCTGACTTTGTGTGTGTTGATCCTCTCCAGAGGGGCAGGTGTCGGTGGTCTGGGCATCACTGTGGAGGGTCCATCAGAATCCAAGATGTCCTGCAAAGACAACAAAGATGGCAGCTGCAGCGTGGAGTACGTTCCCTACACCCCCGGCCTCTACGACGTCAACATCACCTATGGAGGAGAGCACATCCCCGGTGAGATAACGGATTCAAAGAGGCCCTATTCCGCTTTTTGGGGGTTTCCCTTTCCTGCAGTGTGTTATAAAGGCTTTTGTGAATGGTCTGCAAAGGCTAAAATCCCTGTGTTTCTCCCCCACACACTCATACTGTGTTCATATATAAGGATCTATGTTGGGGAATTATAGAAAATTAACAAAATGTACTTTAAGTTTTAATTTAGGTAATAAACCGATACAGTCTATCTAACTAGATCTGTTTATTTCCTAAATGCCCTTTATGTCGTTTCCCGTGTAACGTAATAAATGTTATGAACTTAGTGTTTTTCAGTGAATGTTTAAAGGATGTTGTTGATGTTATTGGCTGATAAACGAAGTGCCAGGTCTTTGAAATAAATGTTTTAAAGATGTGGTTGAAGTTAAAAAGCCGCAGCTCTCTTTAATCGACTTCGTCCAGGAAAAGCTCAGTGGGGTTTCTCGTTCGACACCTTTCACAGACAGCTGTGGGTTTGTGGTTCTGCTGTGTGCAGGCAGCTGGGGCACAGGAAGCATCAGGATGCAGAAACCACATTACCCAGAAACCACGTCACCCAGATCCAACTCGCAAAGAATTTAACAGCAGGAAAAAAACTTTATAGAGCTCATAATTAGCCAGTAGTTAGGGGTTTGAGAATCTAAGGTCAATGCTGCACGGCAAGTTTAAAAGCCCAATTATTATTATTAAGGATTCATCTGCCGGCTATTTTATTGATTATATAATTAATAATTTGGCCTAGAACCATCAGAAACTTAAAAATCCCCACCATAGTTTTCAAAAATCTAAATTGGCCTCCTCAAAAAGTGTATTTATGCAATAAAAATGTAAAAACCTTGATTTAAAAAATAGTTTCCATTTATGTATGCAGATTATTGTTTAAAAAATATAAATGAATGAAAATAATTAAAAGATAATGTGTGAAACAACCTAAATCTGGAGTTGTTTTTTTGTTTGTTTGTTTCTCCAAAAATAATATTTGTTCTCTATATATAAAAATATATATTTATTGTTTTTTGTGACTTCAACATTTCCTCCTGCAGGAAGTCCCTTCAAGGTCCCGGTGAAGGATGTGGTGGACTCCAGTAAGGTCAAGGTGTCTGGTCCCGGTGTGGGGTCAGCGGTCAGGGCCAATATCCCACAATCCTTCACTGTGGACTGCAGGAAGGCCGGCGTGGCGCCACTTTCCGTGGCCGTCTCGGCTCCTAAGGGCCTGGCAGAGCCTGTGGAGGTGAGGGACAACGGGGACGGGACCCACCTGGTGTCCTACACCCCGTCTGTGGAGGGCCCGTACTCTGTGGCCGTTAAATACGCAGAAGAGGACGTCCCCCGCAGGTACTGAGCACAACCTATTCAGAGAGATCTATTAGAGATAGAATCGGAGGGATGAAACCCCTCTTTAATGGTCACACATGCAGAGCACACAGTGACATTTGGCCTCTGCATTTAACTCATCCTAGTACTAGGAGTCTAGTACTAGGAGCAGTGGGCAGCTATTGTACAGCGCCCGGGGAGCAATGGGAGTCGGGGGGGAAGGGGGTTGTCCGGTGCCTTGCTCAAGGGCACCACGGCAGGGCCCAGGAGGTGAACTGGGACCTCTCCAAGTAGCTTCCGGTTTTGGGCATGCTGGCTGCGCATCACTCTCATTCACCAATGGTAATGTTTAGATGGATTTAGGAACTTCCCCTCGATTCTATTGGCTCTAACGGTTCAAAAGAGATGTCAATCACCAATGGGTTCCAGAGATATGGAAAATACACCCAAATGACCCCAGAGGTGGGGTTTTTTCTAAAACCTCTCTAAAAAGGTCAAATTTCACTTGTTTTGTCTTGATACAGGGTACTTATTATATGTTATAGTTTGGATTCCTTAAGCTTTTTGTCTACTATCCCATCATTCAAGGGTGGTTTTCACTTTAAGTAATGGGTTTTTTTTTGGACGGAAACTATAATTTACATTTATTTACTATGTTCAATCGGAATTTACTTTAAAGGGGACCTATCATGCAAAATGCACTTTTGTACGTCTTTTATACATGAATATGTGTCCCCGGTGTGTCAGGGAACTCACCAAGTGTCAGAAAACACAACCCTCTCTCTTTTCCTCCATACCAAATCTCTAAAAACGGGGCTGCAACGGAGCTGATACAGATTTGAAATTGTTCTGACGTCAGAAAACGGGGAGCTCCGCCTATATGGCCAACTCTCCACCTATCAGGGGAATGGGGGGTTTGGCCACGGCCGGCCATTGCCGCTCGAAAGCGCTGGAGACGCTGTAGTACATATGCCAGGCCTGTAAGTGGCGCTGTAGTCTGCCACAAAAGCAGCGAAGAAGACTTCTCACAGAATCAGCCCTTGCAAAAACAGGGCTGGAAAAGAGCAAATGGAGCGAAATGAGGCATGGCTAAAATGCATGATCTGTTTGGTATTTTGAAAAAAAAAAACTTCACAGACATGTTTTATATAGGTATGACCCTACAATATATTATTCAAATATAGCATGATAGGTCCACTTTAAAATAAAAACATCTATGGCATGTCATTTTCGAGCCTGAGGCCTGAAAAACAAGCTTGGGGTTTAACAGGTTAATAAAATAAAAATAAAAATAAGTACACACCCAAGGTATAGTGAAGAAGAAGAAAAAGATGGCCCTTTATTAATCCCCCGAGGGGGAAATTCAGTTTCCACTCTGTCGAAGAAGCAGCCAGTTATAACATGAAGAAATGGCTAAGCAGTATATACTCCACGGTGTTGTTCCAGTCAGTATCTGACAGTCCCTTTGTGTGACTCCCCTCAGTCCCTTCAAGTTCCGGGTCCTTCCCACTCACGATGCCAGTAAAGTGCGGGCCAGCGGCCCCGGGCTGACCAGCGGCGTGCCCGCCAGCTTCCCCGTGGAGTTCAACATCGACGCCAAGGACGCCGGCCAGGGCCAGCTGAGCGTGCTCATCACCGTCAGTGACACACACTCATAACACACACACACATTTATAAACAAACCTCTGAATGTTATTTTGTTCACAGCTACCTTTTTCTAAACCTGAATGAATGTAATAAACCCAAACTTAAATGTAGGAGCTTTAGTGTGTCAAGACTATAGAATGACATTATCTGTCTGTTTTTTAAGAGATAAAGGCAGCAGTTGTTATCAAAATATGTCAAAGCTTGACCATAAGACTAGCAAAATATAAAAAAGTTATTCTATCCTGAAATGCATTTAATTACTTATGTCATTTTGTTATGTTTAGACTGGTGAAATCAATGTTCTGGTACTATTTAGAGTTAGGTTTTTAGGGTATTTGGTAAAGATTAGTTTCAGATGTTTTATAACCTCTAAAAGAAACTAATTGATGACTTAAAATAGTTCCTTTCATCCGACAAACACCTTAAGATATTTTTATCATCTGATAAGAAGTGTCGGAAATTCCTCACAATCTAATACATTTTTATTAAATTGTTGCATTATATTTTTGGAGATTATTGTTTGAGATGTAAATGAGAGTGGAAACAGGTTAATAGGAAAATGTATGAAACCACTTAAATCTGTAAAGGTTTTTTCTTCCGTTTGTGAATATAATAAATGCATTGTGTCCCGTCCTCCCTCCTCTCCAGGACCAGGATGGTAAACCCAGGCAGCCCACCATCCACGACAACGGTGACGGAACCTACCGGGTGTCGTACATCCCCCACCGGGCGGGCCGGTACAACCATCGTCATCAAGTACGGCGGCGACGACATCCCCGCCTCGCCCTACAGAGTCCGAGCCACCGCCACCGGAGACGCCAGCAAGTGCACCGTCACCGGTACGTTGGCACGGAGGAAGATGTAACACAGAGAACATAAATAATCCCAAATATAAATTACACATTAAAAAGCATTGCTGGAGGGATTTGCCACATTCAAATCATTGAGTAAAAGACTTATTCCAACAAAACGCACAACAACCCTTAATAATCTGTGCAAGACCGACAATAGTTGACCATGGAATACTTAAGATAATTACAGTATTATACTTTACATTTCAAGCAATAATCAGGTTTTCAGCATGAATATCTTTATTACAATTTATACTCCAATTTAAATATTGTTATATATACATTTTTCTCATATTAATTGTTGCTATATATTGTAATAATTTGGCAGACACATTTTTACTACTTTGCTTTTTATGTTTATAAATATATTTGTATTTTATGTTATTTCAATTTATTCAAAAACTGTTAAGGAACCAACATTCTTAATTTAACTTAAATTATCTTAATATAAATATTTCTTTTTATTTAAATATAGTTTTTATTTAATTTTGAAATATAGCAACTGTATCAAAACTAACATTTTTACATTAATTTCTTATTTTTATATTCATATTTAGCTCATATTATCTTATCCTATTCTAGTTTATTGTGAAATGGAGCAACTACAAGAATCCATCTTCATAAAACAAACAGATTCTGATTGTTAAACCATTAACTGTCCTCTTCCTGCCCCCACCCCAGGTCCGGGTGTGGGTCCCACGGTTGCCATCGGCGAGGAGCTGGGGCCTGGGTGGTGAACGCTAAGGCTGCTGGGAAAGGGAAGGTGAGCTGTGTGGTGGTTCAGCCCGACGGCAGCGAGGTGGAGGCCGAGGTGCTGGAGAACGAGGACGGCACCTTCGACATCTTCTACACGGCGCCGGCCCCCGGGAACTACGTCATCTACGTCCGCTTCGGGGGGGAGAACATCCCACGCAGCCCCTTCAAAGTCATGGTGAGGGGGGGAATACATTTGTGGTTAGGTTTATACGGCTCTAATGGGGATCCTAAATGGTTTCATGTAAGTCGAGGTCGTCATAAAGCTGAGAACTCGGTGTATTTATTTACAGTTTTATATAGAGATTTGTATTCAAAGCACCATACCTGTGTTTAGTCCTTAACTGCGAATATTGTCTATACATCTATCTATACAGGCTTAAAGGTTTTGAATTGTTTAAGTGTATTTCTTGTCTTCCAGGCAGCTGCAGGTTTGTATTAATGTAAACATCACAAATGACTCTTTGTTGAGATGTATAATCTATAACTGTGAAGATAAACTGCACAATGCAATGTACATGCAGATTGATTTGAAAATGGCCAAAAACAAGCTTTTGGTTGATTCATTTACTGTTTGACCTCATACCTTCAGTTTACAGGAAAGGATTTACCCACAACGCAGTGTGTGTGTGTGTGTTTTTTGTTTGTGTTTTTTTGTGTGTGTGTGTGTGTGTCAGATGTTAATCATTACTATCGTGTCTTCAGGCTACTGATGAGGTACCCATCATGCAAGAGGACAGGCCTCTTCCGCCACTGGCTTCGGCCCCTGGAGTTGGGTTCCAGCCCTGGGTACCCAAAAGCACTCACACACACACACGTGCACACACACATGAGGCACAACACAGAGTCGTATACTGACGTTACACCAAAATGTTTCCTACAATTGTCAAACACAAATATCAATCAAGGAAACATCTGTTTGATTTGCCTTAAAGGGGCATTCGTAAGGGTTGTGTTTGGCTGTCATAAGTCGACCTTTCATCCAGTATAAAAACACATTTTTATGATACACTTTCTTAATCTTGGTCCAACTACATATTCCAACCGGATCTTCATTTATCAGAGAAGAGGAGAAGGTTATCAAATGCTAACGGCAGTCCAACAGCACTTATCCTTATAACTGCCTAATTCAATGTTTTAACCAGTTGTAATGACCTGGTTTGTTGGGTAGAGGAGCCTTTAATTCAGTTCCTGGTAAAAAACCTCTTGAAGAAAACCACAATGAATTGAATCCTAACTGGGAGAAGCTCCAATGACAAACTCCCATTAACCCAAATTACCTCACAATACCAAACTTTGTTTTTTGTAACTGATATAATCAAGAGAAAAAAAATTCATATTACAATTTAAAGAAAATCACCATACACTATATGAAAATGTGATTTGTGTAAAGTTTCCCTTTAACACACAGTAGCATAACAGTCACAAAATGAACAAAACAAACACACACACACACACACACACACACACAGCTCCTCTCTCTTGCAGGTGGCTGCTGGGTAAATCGCCCCTTGCTCTCTCTCGCTCCATGCTAAGTTGGACTTCGTCGCCTGCTTTGCCTCATCCATATCATCGCTTCTCTTTTTGTCTCCCAATCCCAATGGGAATGCAGAAATCACCTAACAGCGTAACGTGAATATCAAACAGTCCCAGGTATCTTTGTGATGCAGGAAGCTTTGCTTGAGGATCCATATGTTGTCCTGCAGGGGGATTTCTGTGGTGGTCTGTCTTTCTCCTCTTCTTCAGTGCACTCTTCATCGCTGTGGCTGCTTCACAGTCGCCTCACCATCATCATCATCATTCTAATTCTTCTCTGCTCCCTCGCTCTGCACTTCCCAGGATGCCACAGGCAGCGGCATGTTTCTGTTGCAGGGCGCTGAGACTGACAGGAAGTTGTTTCAGGGTTGAATCAAAGTGTTAACTTCCTGTCTCTCTGTCTGTCTTCTGCAGGTGACCTCAGACAGCTTTGATCCTAACAGCAGCAGCAGCATTAATGGAAGCGGCTTCAGACCGTTCGACATGGTGATCCCTTTCTCCTTCAGGAAGGGAGAGATCACAGGTGAGACTGATGTGGAGCAGGAGTACAGATGTGCAGCTGACTCCGACACATCTCTAGTTTTGAAGGTTTTGATTTATAAGTGTTAAACAAATGTACATTTTAAAAAGGATGGTGGGCGCCTGATAAAAGTTACGTTTGACATGGATGTCTGTCAAAAAAAAACTTTGTACCAATCCATTAAGACTTAATTGAATGTCATGTTTTTCTCATTTCAATATTCTTTTTAGATTTTCAGTTGAAGCTGAAGTGTTTTTCCATTAAAACACCTTGAACGCGATGGCGTATTGACCCCCTTTTCAAATACAGTTTGACTCATGATACAACGCTCTTGAGTTATTGTAAATGTTTGAAGCACACAAGTTGGAACAATCCAAATAATATTAGTGTAGCCTACTCTTTATCTGCATCTGTGCAGATATACAGGGTTTAAACATCATGAATAGACATGCATAAACCAATACATCCAATCTTTTTTGAGACATTTGACTAAAATCCACAAATGTCAAACTCATCATGGGGATAGAGAAACATCAGACAATCACAAAAGTCTTTAAGATTCGTCCATCCAATAGTTGAGGTTGTTCTGTTAGGAACAAAGTGTAGACCTACCAAGAGATAAAGAGCCACATGGCATACTTTCATACAAGTAACAGAATAATAAAAACAAATTCAAAAGGAATAATCGGATTGGATCATAAGATTATTTACATGTGTCTCTTTCTCTGACCCTCAGGTGAAGTGCTGATGCCTTCAGGTAATCCGCTCAGCAGCCGCTGATCTCTGACAACCTGGACGGGACGGTCACAGTGCAGTACTCCCCCACTGAGGCCGGCCTGCACGAGATGCACATCAAATACACGGAACACACATCCCAGGTCAAACACCACACCACACACACACACACACACACACACCACACACACACATATATTATATAGTATATATATATATATATATATATATAGATATATAGTATATATATATATAATATATATATATATATATATATATATATATATAATCTATATATGATATATATATCTATAGATATATATATATATATATTATAATATATATATATATATATATATAATATATATATATATATAATATATATCCCAGGTCACGCACACGCTAACAATCTCACAGTTAACCCATAAATGCATGTCGCATACCTTTATTTTCCTTCATTGGAGCAAAGGAGCACAAACCAGAGAAAACAGAAAAGTAGGTAAAAAGCATGTAAACTGAGGACTACCCCATGTTTAAGTGAAATGCTTTTTTTGTACAGAGTCTCCTCTTCAGTTCTACGTGAACCACGCCAGCAGTCCCAACGTCACAGCGCAACGGCCCCGGGCTCTGCTACGGAGTCGCCAACAAGGTGGCCACATTCACCGTCTTCACAGAGGACGCCTCCGAAGGTACATTAGCTACATGACCCCATCCACACATTTCTCCACAAGAATTAATCACCTTCAAGCTCACTACCTTGTTTTCATCAGTCCAAAATCAGAAATGCAAGATTAATATTTGGTAGTAAAGTGGTTGCGTTTGTAGCAGCAGTAATAGTGACATTCTTTGCATTTTGCATGCAATTCAGTTCAGCGATAACATCCTGTTTCAAATTGAATCTGTCTGTTTGTGCAGGGGGTCTGGACCTGGCCATCGAGGGTCCCTCCAAAGCGGATATCAGCTGTGTGGACAACAAGGATGGGACGTGCAGCGTCAGCTACCTGCCCACTCTGCCCGGAGACTACAACATCCTGGTCAAATACAACAGCAAGCACATCGCCGGCAGCCCCTTCACCGCCAGGATCACCGGTCAGCCTCACACACACACACACACACACACACACACACACACACAGGCACACGCACACGCACACACACGCAAAAGTGGAAGATGGGTGGATGGAAGTCGTTCCACCCAATCAGTTTGTTGATTAGCTTTAAATCGCAATTTCTGAATCATGAATGGTACAAAACAGATAAGTTGTATTTTATTGCTTAGAGCGTTCAACAACACCCTTTTGGTTTCTTATGCCAGCCCCACATAAGTGCAGCACAAATGCCCCAACTCACAATATTAATCAAAGTGCAACATAGTTATTCTATCTGGCTCGGGATTTCAGATCCATTCTAACATTTTATTGGTAATTCTGCTTAAGACAAAACTGAGCAGAAAACATATGTTTTTTGTTTCTGAGTTCTATCATTAAAAATGTTTAAAGGTCCCATGTCATGCTTCTCCGGTTGTTACCCGTCCCCTTGTGTGTTATGTCGCTTTTTATCCATGTAAACGGTCTGCAGGAGTCACAAACCCTCAAAGTACACCCTGTAGCGAGTAAAACTCTAACACAGAAAAGACTTGTCTATGCTGCCCCAGAACGCCTCGTTTTCTTCCTGGGCACAGTGACGTGACCATACCCAAATGGACCAATCCCTGGAGCTCCTCACACACACACACTCTCTCAGCGGCAAAACTGTGACGCGCTGGGGGGTGCTAGTGGAGCCTCGCAGCGCGAAACTGTGGCGCGCTTACACTGTAGGTGCGCCGCGTTTGGGGGTGCGGGTGCTAGTGGAGCCCTCGCCGATGGGGGTGCTGCAGCCCCCTCAGCACCCCCCCTTCCCGCATCCATGGTGCTCAGGCTGAGTTTTGCGATATCTCGCTGTCTCGCAGACCCCACGCAGCAACCAGGAAACGACACCAGTATAGAGCTCACACTGTCCGCTCCTCGCAGCAGCGAGCCGCGCAACGTCCTGCACCACGCAGCTTCTCATCTGTTTGTCCATTACTGGTGTCATTTTCTGGTTGCTAACAAACGCCATTGTAACACATAATCACTGATGGTCCGCTGTAACGGTGTGGACTCATCAGAACAGAGTGGGCGAGCTGACCAATCAGAGCACAGTGGGCTCATAGGGAGGGGGGGGCAGGAGCTCCAACAAGCCGTTTAGGACAGAGAGTGAATACAACATACTATACAGAGATGCGGTATGAGAAACCAATGTGAGTTTGGAACATTGAACAATGTAAATCTATTCTAGTAGACCTCAACAATGGAATTATGATCAGTGGAAATGGCCATGACATGGGACCTTTAAGAGTATAGAGCACAGTAAAAAAGGCAGATTTTGATTAACTTTGGATAACAAACCTGTTAAATCGCTTTTTTCAGCTACATGTCCACAGGTGTGTATTTACCTGTGTGTGTGTTTCAGAGGACAACCAGCGGCGCTCTCAGGTCAAAACTGGGCTCTGCGGGCAGACTTCTCTCTGGACATTAATGAGACGGACCTGAGCCTGCTGACCGCCAGCATCCTGGCTCCGTCCGGCCGCGACGAGCCCTGCCTGCTGAAGAGGCTGGCCAACAACCACATCGGTAACACACACCACACAAACACACACACTCAGAAACTCTCCATCTTCTATTCCAACTTTCATTCCGTCTTGACTGTTAATCCCTCTACCCCCTCTCTCCTCCTCCCAGGTATCTCCTTCATCCCTCGGGAGGTGGGTGAGCACCAGGTCAGCATCCTGAAGAACGGCCATCACGTGGCCAACAGTCCCATCACCATCATGGTGGTCCAGTCTGAGATCGGAGACGCCAGTGCGGTCAAAGTTCACGGCGATGGGCCTGGTGGCAGGGAACCACCTTCAACACTCCAGCTTTGTGGTCGACACGCGGGAGGGCCGGTCAGTGTGGAGGCCGATTTGAATTATTTCTTCTTCTTTTTTTGCCATTTTGACGACATGACTATATTTAGACTTAAGTAGTGGCTTGACCACAGAGGGTTTACCATTATAATAATGTTTACATTTATTCATGTTTCCCAGAGGATGAAATTGAAAGAAAATGCTGAAATAAGATTTAGAACATGGTGAACATCATACTTGCGCAACATTAGCATGTTAGCATTTAGCTTTCCACCGTCTGCACATCACAGAAGTACTCGCATGTAGACTCTTATTCATGTGTTTGTTATAAACTTTAGGTCCTTTATCAGTAATAATATTGTATCTATTAAACTATTGTAATAACATTGTAATCACAAAGTTAATTCTGAGCTCTTTGGCTCGACCAAAAATCGTTTAAAAATGTGCTATATAAATAAAACTTGATTTGATTTGATTTTGAAATGCCTGTTTCTGCTGTTAGTGAGCCACTGTTAACATCATGTATCCGCGTGTTTGTGTGTGTGTGTGTGTGTGTATTCAGGTTATGGCGGCCTGGCTCTGTCCATCGAAGGTCCCAGTAAGGTAGACATCCAGACGGAGGACATGGAGGACGGGACGTGTGGAGTCACCTACTGTCCCACTGAACCAGGGAATTACATCGTCTCCATCCGCTTTGCAGAGGAACATGTCCCAGGTACAAAACAACATTTTTATTTGCTGTTGGTGAAAATAATATATAATTTGACTATAGGCAAATTAATTTGATAAAATGATTCCTCTTTGAAAAAGCTACCATAAATGTTAAACAATATTTTGATTGTGTTGATGTGAATAATTGTTCCAAAAAAACAGTATTAATGGGAGTAAAACTAATGTTAATGTAATCCGACTACAGAGTCGGGTGGGATTTAAAGGCCCCCATTGGACTATTACAAATATAAAATGCATATTTATTTATATACTGTGACAAAAAATATTTAAAAAATATGCAGTGTACCAGATTGAATCCATCAATTAGAACATTTGAAACTAAGCAAACAGACTTTTATAATCTTCATAGTTTCAGGATTGTTTAATGCCTAATAAAGAATATACTTTAATTACCCATAATGTGATATGTCTTTCAGAAGAATAATGTGTGTGTTTGTGTGTGTGTGTCAACAGGAAGTGCGTTTACTGTGCGGGTGACCGGAGAGGGTCGTATCCGTGAGAGCATCACCCGGCGACAGAAGGCGGCGTCTGTTTCCAGCGTGGGGAGTGTGTGTGACCTCAGTCTGAAGATACCAGGTACAGTACACACACACACACATACACACACACACACATACACACAACAAACACAGATCCTGGCAAAATAAATCTCCCCATACTGTAAATGAAAATGAGGATAATGATTCAGAAATGAACAGTCCCTGAACTTTCATTAATAATATTGCAATTGCCACATCAGTCAAAATAATCGCAAACTGATATTTTTCCAAATTGATAAGCCCTCATCCGATGGCTCATGATCAGACTCCCTGAAGGACAGGAGCAGTGGCTCTCATTTCTAGAGGGTTTCCCTGGTTCCTTAAAAAGTCTTAAAAGGCATCAAATGTATTCATAATAAACTGCAAAGACCTGGGAAGTAGGATTTTAATCGTTTTTTCTGAAGCTGCATTATGAAATCTCAAAATAAATGGTAGCATTTATGTAAAAACATTTTACTGAATACCTCTGAAATAAACATCATGCCGATCTGGATAGCAGAAAAGTCAGTGGAACGTTCCTTTGGTATTTGACTCCACTTAAAGGCAAAGAAATGTCTCCGATGTGTTGTATCCATCTCCTGTGAACAGCAGTGAGCGTTCAGCTGTTTTGTAAGTCAGAGAGAAAGTGTTCAGGTGGATCAGTTAGCAGCTCCTGATCTTTGGGATCTGAAACCTGACCTTCAGACTGAGCACTTCTGCGTCCTCGGAGCTGCTCCTCCTTTTCCTTTTCTAAAACCAATTCCTGTCTGAAATGTCTCTCTTTCTGTCTCGTACTGCTCTGGTGATGTTTGTCAGTTTTGTCTTTCACCCTTTCTTAATCTCTGATCTCCTTTACTCTTCTTCTATCCTTCCCTTTGTCTCACCCTGCATCCTTCTTCTTTAATCTCTGTTTTTACATTTTTCTCTCCTTATTTTTTTGTTTTCTTCATTTTGTTCCTTTCTTTTTGTCCTTCTCCTCCCTTTTTCTCCATCACTGTTCCCTCTTTTCCTCCTCAGCTTCTCCTCTTTTCCTCCTCCTCTGCCTTCTTCATTTCCTTCCTCCCCCTCTCCGTGTGTCCTCCTCTCTCTTCTTCCTCCAGTGAGCTGGTTCCTGCTGACCCTCTCTCGGCAGCAGCTCCTCTGTCCCCCCTCCTCCCGCTCCTTCTGCTCCCTCTGGTGGTCTGGAAGATCCAGCGGTCGAGGGGCTCGTTCCTCTGCTGTTGCCCAGGATCCGAGCCTCTCCCCTGGGCACGTGCGCCTCATCTCCGGCCTCTCCGGCCTGGTGCTGGGGGGGGGGAAGAGGCAGCAAGGGGGGTTTGGGTCGTTGATGCCCGCTGCTCAGTGGGTGGTGCCAGGGTGGAGGGTGCGTTGTTGCTCTGTGGCACTGTTTTCTTCAAACAATTTTCCACCTTTTAAAAAATATTTCCTGAAAAGCGCAATGTACTTCTACAGAGTGGAGACACTTTATTGTTTTAATACTTTTCATGCAGAATGTGCAACCACATTTTTTGTCAGCTTGTTCCGGTTAGAGTTACTATTAAATTACTTAATGCTGCTGGCTAGCTAATCTTTAATACTATATGAAATATTTTAGTTGATTTATTTATATTTTTATAATCCAAACCTCAAAAGTAACTCAAGCATTAAAATAAATGTACAGTAAAAAAGAAAAAGTACCTTACAATTTTTTTTTTACTTCTTTGGACTGTTTTCAGCTATATTGATGCTAAAACAAACACAGATTTAACACAAATCAGTTTTCTTGATTTTCGAACTGAACAAACATCCTCTTCAATGTGATAGCATTTATAATGATTTGCATTGAAAAAAAAGGAATATTAGACAATCTGTATTTACATTATTTTTATTGAACTTATCATATTATAATTATTTAAGGATCCATGCACAACTGTTTACAAAATGTATATTAAAAAAAATCTCAAGTAACCTGCCGCATATTTCAGAAACTCTGCTCTAGGGGGAACCGCCCAGTGTTTGTAACATAACTGCAACTGCTCTTCATTTCTCTTATCCTCACCCTATTTCTACTTGGATCATTCACCTGATTAACGTAATTCAAATCAAAAAGTACTCGTAATACAAAAATGCTTTTTTTGAAAAGCATGTAAAGGTGGAGCTAATATTTAATAACTTTATACTGCTGGCTAGCTTCTTCCATGATACTATATCAAATGTTTTTTTTTTTATTAATTTTTTTATTAATCATCTAAACCTACAAATTAAGTGGTAACTAAAGTTTTTAAGATAAATGTGGTGCAGCAAAAAGTAGGGCTGCTCAATTAATCGTATTTTAATCACAATTACGATTTTGGCTTGCAACGATTATGAAAACAACATAATCGAAATAAAACGATTATTTATTTTTTATTATTTTTATTTAATTTTGTATTGATTTATTTAAAAAATATATATATTGGTTTTTCAGTTGTAATCAACTGTTCAAAACATACTGTTAAAAATAAATAAATGGATGTTTTCAAAGTAAATGGATAATCGTTTTTAATAATCGTGATATCAATTATTGACCCAAATAATCGAGATTATGATTTTTGCCATAATCGAGCAGCCCTAGCAAAAAGTAAGTAAGTCAATTAAAAGTACCTCACAATTCAACTTTAGTACAGTTCTGGAATAAATGTACTTAGAGTAACAAAAATAATCCATCTGTATAATAACCCTCTTCCTGTGTGCAGCGATCGACATGCAGGACGTCTCCGCGGAGGTCTCCTCCCCCTCGGGGGCCCGCCAGCCTGCAGAGCTGGTCGCCGCGGGCAACGACACCTACTGTGTGCGCTTCGTTCCCACGGAGATGGGCGTGCACAGCGTGAGTGTGCGGTACAGGGGCGTGCACGTGCCAGGCAGCCCCTTCCAGTTCACTGTGGGGCCCCTGGGAGAGGGGGGGGCCGCCAAGGTGAGGGCAGGAGGTCCGGGACTGGAGGGAGCCCAGGCAGGAGAGCCAGGTACACACACACACACACACACACACACACACACACACACGCCATACACACACACACGACAATAATTGTACCGAAATACCCTGCCAGGTGTTGCAAACCCTTTTCCATTTAAAGTAAAACCTTGCCCAATAGTTGATAAACCCGGTTGTTTCACGATGATTCATAACGATAATAAACCAGACACAGAAATATCCGAGTTTTGCTTACCCTCTTTTTCTCAAGAAGCCCAGCAAACAACTAAACGGGTCATAAAAAATCATGAAATAGTATGCCTAGAAAAAAATCATAATTTACTTAGTATTTGATTTATTTATTTTTTAAATCATATAATATGTTTTCAAAAATGTCCCTGCCACTCCTCTCTGATGTGACTCCACCAGCTGTTCAGACCCCAGCAGGGAGAACTAAATGCTGCTTTTGCACATGTTCACTCTCACCCCCTCCCCTCTCTATCTCTCTCTCTCTCTCCAGCTGAGTTCAGTATCTGGACGAGGGAGGCCGGGGCCGGCGGTCTTTCCATCGCTGTGGAGGGTCCCAGCAGGGCGGAGATCTCCTTCGACGACCGCAAAGACGGGTCCTGCGGGGTCTCCTACGTGGCTCAGGACCCCGGTACAGAAACACTCACACAGTGTAGTCTGATGATTGTTCACTGATGCATTTCTTTAAGTTATATTCTTATCAACTTTTGTTGGTACTAAGTGTTTCTGTTTTCTGTTTGAGAAGCGATTTGGATTACATTTGATTGATTAATTTGTTTGATCGCTCCCCCCCCCCCTTCCCCCCTCCTCTGCAGGTGATTATGAGATTTCGGTGAAGTTTAACGAGCAGCACATCCCTGACAGCCCGTTCCTGGTTCATGTGGTCGCTCCAGCCAACGACGCCCGCCGCCTCAGTGTTACCGGCCTTCAGGTGAGGCACGAGGAGACACCCCCCACACCCTCTGAGGCTCAGTTGCATAAAAGTGTGATATCATGAGCACAACAATAAATCATGGGCGAAGATAGAAGATAGATATTAAGATTTTGAGTTAAAACACACACAGCTGGCTGATTTCATTCCACTTATTTTTTTAAATAAAGTTTCCTTTTATTTATTTTTGGAGTGATGTATTGTGAGTAATAGTAGCAAGTCTCATCCTCGAAGTTAAACAAACTCTCTGATTTAGCCCCCCACTATAATTGAGTTTCTCATTAAAGAATTAAAGCCCATATCAGTGGAACCTTTGCGTTGTTCAGATAGTCAGATAAGGTTTTTTGTTTCTTTCTTTATGCAACTGGCCTCATGGATGTGACCACAGCCAGGCAAACGCACCGCTTCTGTGTGAAGTTGACACCTCAATCTGAGAGAGGCACTAAAGGAAACCTTTGGGGATTTTTGGACACATTTTTAAGAATGAACTTAAGCTCTAACTTTAAGTTTCATTTTATTTTCCGCTAATTGATTATTTCATTTTCTAATGTCAGAAATCAGTGAAAAATATCCAAAATGATGTCTGCAATTGTCAGAAAAACTAATATGATCAGTTTACATGAACCAAAGAGTGACTGTTGATAACTGACCAATTATTGGATTTATTGACATTATTCAGTGTGTCAGTGAACTGATAAATACATTTTCTGACTCTACAAGGTCATCATTACATCATGAAATCAACAGATGTTCTTAACATATATTAAACACACTCACCTGATGAGATTAAATGATCATTAAACAAAAAAGGATTCCTCTTATATTTTTACAATAAACTTTTCATGACATTTAGTATTGACAATGGTCTCTAGAAGAAAGGGTCAGGAGGTGACTAATAATAATAACATATTAGACACTTTAGATTTACAGGTTCAAATAATTCTATATAACAAGAAAAGTTGTCTCCAATATTCATTTAAAAACATTTGGTCAGCTGATCTGTCCTCTCAGCTGATCTGTCCTCTCAGCTGATCTGTCCTCTCAGCTGATCTGTCCTCTCAGCTGATCTGTCCTCTCAGCTGATCTGTCCTCTGAGTGTTTTGCCTGGCTCTGGTCATCCCTCTTCTGTCTGGTGTGGAACTGCTGGTGTTTCTCTTGTGTTTCATTTAAAGGCTCTTAACAGCACCTTCATCATCTTCATCATCAGCTCTGGATGCTGAGCAATGGCAGACGGAGGCGGGCCACTCAGAACACCTGCTGAACTTTAGAGACCTAGTTTGTTTTTGATCTGTAGAAGATCCTCAGCTGGTTTAGCTACATCAGAGTCTTATAGTACAGTCATCAGTGTGAGTGTTGCTGCATCGCTTCTCCATGACAACATGCATTCATGGAAGATACCCTTTATCGCAAAACTAGATTAACAGGATCTTTGCACAGTGACAAATAAAAAACAGATATTATCATGAGGCTTAGATATGAACAGAGCCTTAGTTGTATTTTCATTTCATGATGTATAACATTAGGGAATAAGATAATGGCAACGGCAAGATAATATACAACAAGAATAGAACGCTGTTAAATCATAGTAAGTCATCATTTAATTATTAATGAATTGTTTTTTCAAAATTACTTTTGTTGAGACAACGGTCAATACTCCTATTCCTAGTTCTTAATCTATTATTAATTTCTACTAGAAGTTTGAGAAATATGATATTTAAATGTTTTTATTTGACTAAAGTAGGAATAAAAAGTATTCTTTGTTTTTATTTATGATAATGCATAGGCTATTACAACTAAGCCAACTGGTCAAATGTAGCATATCAAGCAGTTTTGGCATATTTGTCAATATTATTATTATTATTATTTAATAAGGTTACAAGATATCAGTCCAGAAATGCCAAAAATAGGTTAGAGGTCATTTAGAAACAGTGTCCTCATTACATAGTTTGTCCACTGGAGAGCATCAATGAGTAACTATATAGAAATTCAGATTTAGTATATAAATAAATACATTTTTTTGATGTAATTCTTTAAAGGTCCCATGTCATGGCCATTTCTACTGATCATAATTCCATTGTTGAGGTCTACTAGAATAGATTTACATTGTTCAATGTTCCAAACTCACATTGGTTTTCTCATACAGCATCTCTGTATAGTATGTGTATTCACTCTCTGTCCTACACGCCTTGTTGGAGCTCCTGCCCCCCCTCCCTGTGAGCCCACTGTGCTCTGATTGGTCAGCTCGCCCACTCTGTTCTGATTAGTCAACCACCGTTACAGCGAAACATCAGTGATTATGTGTTACAATGGCGTTTGTTAGCAACCAGAAAATGACACCAGTAATGACAAACAGATGAGAATGCTGCGTGGGGTCTGGGTGCCGTGTTGGCGGGACGTTGCGGGGCACGCTGAGCTGGATTACTGGTGTCGTTTCCTGGTTGCTGCGTGGGGTCTGCGAGACAGGGAGACAGCGCGGAGCTCAGCCTGAGCACACACACTGTGCTCCGAGTGTGTGTGTGTGTGTGTGTGTGTGCTCAGGCTGAGCTCCGCAGCGTTACGTCACTATGACCAGGAAGAAAAAAATTGTAAAATAAAAATCTCCAACGAGGCGTTCTGGAGCAGCATAGACAGGTCTTTTCTGTGTTAGAGTTTTACTCGCTACAGGGTGTACTTTGAGGGTTTGTGACTCTGCAGACCGTTTACATGCAGAAAAAGCTACATAACACACAAGGGGACGGGTAACAACCGGAGAAGCATGACATGGGCCCTTTAAGTACCAAATGTTAAGAGCCGGCAATGGCATTATCATCAAAACATGTTTCAATTAAAACTACTCACTAAATCTGAGATGGTTTACAGCATTTAACAGACTGTACTATAACACTGTACGACTGTAGATTTAACTCTTCAGATGCTTTTGAACCCTGTGGCTGCCTCTGTCTGCTGCAGCTGCACCACCTGGAGCTCAGGTAAGAGTGGAAGAACATATAGTTCAGAGAAATGATAGAACCAGAGCAGAGACAACAGTATCTGGTTTGTAGTATTCCCCTCTTTTATACAAACACACACTCACTTTGAAGTGTCTGTGTTTTGGAGTTTTGGGTTTTTTCTTCCTTGATGTTTCTCTTTCTGTCCCTGTACCCTGACTGTGTGTGTGACCTCGGTAGGAGTCTGGTCTGAAGGTGAATCACCCAGCATCCTTTGCGGTGCGTCTGAACGGAGCGCAGGGCAAGATGGAGGCCAAAGTCCACAGTCCCTCCGGAGCTCTGGAGGAGTGTGTGGTGACCGAGCTGGAAAAAGGTGTGTGTGTGTGTGAGCTTTAAGTGTTTTTTTTTATTGCATCTGTGGTGAAAGAAAAATCCTGTTCTGGAATGAGTTGAATAATTATCAGTATAGTTTGGTCTATAGCTGCTTTTAGAAGATATTTTTAGAACAAATGTTCAAGTAAAAATACTTCCTGTTAGGACTGGGAAATAACTATAATATATTACCCACTTTATTTATTCCACATTACTTGTTATTATTCATCAAAATTCTTATTGTGTAAATATTTTTCAAAGCATCAAGGGTCACCCTACAATATTGATATTGAGTTATTTGCTCAAAAATATCTTAATTTTAGATTTTCTTCATATCGCCATATGTCAACTTAAATCATAATCAGATGTATTGATTTGGGTTTTTATTAAAATAAATAAAACACTAAAGCTACTAAAAAACTAAAACATTTTACAGGAATAATAATCATAGAATAAGAATGACACATTTTCTCTGAAAAATTAAATACGTGAAATATATCAGGATTAAAAAGTGGAAGCGCTGTGCAGTTTGTTCTAAAAGAAGCCAGAACTTTGAATTCTCATAACTAAGTCCTCTGTCCTCCAGACAAGTACGCTATCCGGTTCATCCCGAGAGAGAACGGAATCCACACCATCGACGTGAAGTTCAACGGCTCTACATCCCGGGAAGTCCTTTCCAGGTCCGGGTCGGAGAGCCGGGACAGACCGGAGAGCCCGGCCTGGTGTCGGCGTACGGATCGGGGCTGGAGAGAGGAACACAGGTGGGAGAGCTTAGTGTCTGTTATTATTTCATATCAGAATAAATATATATTTTTAAAGGCCATATTATACATTTTAGGCTTCAGATACGCTCTTAAGTAACATTTAAGCACTTTTAAAGCACTTTGAACATTTCCTCTCCAAGGCTTTATCATCTAATCTAAATGTATATTGTAAATGGGAAATAAAAAATGACAGATTTATAATGTGCCCACAGCAATAAACATTTTTACTTTGTTTATTTCACAAGCCTTTGGTTTTAAATATGACTTTTATGTTGTGGCTTCCTCGAGCCTGTATGAAGCATTACATGCATTTTTCCATAGGGCGACAATCTGTGAGAATAACATTTTAACAAAGCGTTATTGTTTGTTTTAAATCTTGCAGGTAGCCAGTCAGAGTTCATCATTAACAACACTAAGGCTGGCCCCGGGGCCCTTGCAGTGACCATCGAGGGGCCATCTAAAGTGAAGATGGACTGTAAGGAGGTTCCTGAGGGCTACAAGGTGCACTACACCCATGGCTCCTGGAAACTACCTGATCAGCATCAAGTACGGAGGACCCAACCACATCACCGGCAGCCCCTTCAAAGCCAAGGTCACAGGTCAGTGAACGTCCTTGCACTCATCCACTTTAACCTTGCGATGCAAAACATTATATATGCATCTGAAATCAATAGGTCTGTTGAGTCTTTTGCATTATTCTTTCGGTGGAAAAATACAATCTGAAAATGTAAGTGTACATTAATGCTTTATTTTCTGTACAGCAATTACTAATTTGTGTCTCGAAACATCATGTGATTTTTTTTTTAATTGCCTTTTTGAGCACAACCTCAAGAAAGAAGTCATATTGTCATGTCATATTTAATATGAATACAATTCTAAAGTTATATACAATATTTTTCATCTAAATAGTTTAGTTTTTTAAAGTGAGAAATACGCTCGCTTGAATATATTCCTTGAAATTCTTGATTTACAATATAATCTTATATTTACAAAGTGTTTTGGTCCTTTTTTTATTATTGAAAATGGTATTCTATACTAAAATGGTATTGTTTCCATCTTATTATATTTTTAAAGATATTTTATCTAAATTGGCACAAGCTAGCTGACTCATTTTATGGAAAGTCCTGGTTTAGCAACTTATGACTTTTTTTCGGTCCTGCTCTGCAAAGCATTTAAAAAAACATTTAAAAAAACGATCTTACCTGATTTGTCTGTCTCCCTCTCTTAGGCGCTCGGCTGGTGAATGTGACCAACGCCAGCGAGACGTCCACCTTGACTGTGGATCCAGTGGTCAGGTCCAGCAGCAGCTTCTCCCAGAGTGCTTTGCCCCGGCTCACAGACTCTGATGCCAGCAAGGTGTCGAGCCGCGGCCCCGGCCTCAGCAAGGCCTTCGTGGGCCAGAGGAGCAACTTCTCTGTCGACTGCAGCAAGGCCGGTAAGTACGGCTCATGATCGATGGATTCTTTCTTCAGCTTTAGTGGTATAGCACTTTTCATACAGAGGATGCATCTTAAGAGTGCTTGAGAGTTTGGTGCAAAACACAACACAATCAGTTTAAGTCAGAGTATAAAATATGTTAGCACACATGCAGCGTGAGTACATGATACATACATGATTCCAGGGAATACAAGAAGGTCAAATAAATAAGAATACTTTATTTATGAGTTTCAAAACAGTTGCTCCTTTTTAGAATAAAATGAAATGTAAATATAATACCATAGAAAAAAATAGGTATGTTAACATAGAAAGCTAAAGTCAAAATGTGAAGTAAAAAATAATATAAAAAAACATTTTTGTACACAAAATAAGTTAAAGTAACAATTTGCAATAAAAAATAAAATAAAATAAATAAACACACCAATCCAAGGGTTATTGCTAATTAAAGCTAAGTTGAACGAAAACTTAAACACGTTTACCAACATTGATTGACGTGTAAACTTCCGCTCCTCTTCCTCCAGGTAAGAACATGCTCCTGGTGGGGGTGCTCGGCCCCCTGGTCCCCTGTGAGGAGGTTCTGGTCAAACACCTGGGCAACCTGCAGTACAACGTGAGCTACATGCTGAAGGAGCGGGGGTGCTACATCCTGGTGGTGAAGTGGGGCGACGACCACATCCCAGGCTCCCCCTTCCAAGTCAACGTCCCCTGAGGCAACCAATAAAAACACACCGTCACTCCTCCTGAACCATTGTGCATCCCTGTTTGAGTGGAAACACTCTACTGCAGATAATCATCCAATAAACAACTTGCTTACAAAGTTAAAGGGGTACACTTTGCCTTCAGATGTGTTCATTTCAAATCTCAAGTATAAAGGATCTGACACAATTGATTTACTTGCTAAAACTGAACTTGATAAAGGAGAGGAAAGTGTTAAAAAACACTTGTTTTAAACTAAAATGTTAAGGAACAGAAGTGAACACATCCATAAATGTAAGTTGGACCATTTTTCTGCAGTGAATCAGGGAAGCAAAATGGTAAAAGAAACTATAATCTGACCTAAAACTGGAGTCAAAATGATCTGATTTGGAAAGATAACTATCATCTGTTGATTTTTGCTGACCTGAAATTGACAAATTGTGCACTTGACGATAGTTTTTATACGTGATTGTCAATTAAGACGGCTTGACATTAGTTGGTGAGAACACAAAATGTTTCCAAAGTGTTAAAACTAGATTGGGCTCAGAAAGGTCAAACTTGGACAAGATGACTGGAATTACACAGCAATTGCCTCAGTTGACACAGTACCAGGAGCAAAATGAAAATGAGAGACAGACTGTATATTTAACCTGGACTTCTGAATCCTATCATTTTCTCTGACCAGTCAGATGCCTTTTCAGCAAAATGATGGAGTGCTGTGGATTTAAAAAATGATTTAACATCTCAATTTTAAGAACTGGAATTATGTTTTTTAAAGCACTCGATGCGTCGAACTGCACACGACTACTGATGTTTATTATTGATTTATTAGCTCCCACAATCCCTAAAGTACATAATGTTGCCACTACTACTACTTTATTATGTGCTTCATCTGTGGGTTCATCTCTTTGCTGTATTTTTCACATGAAAAGATCTGTTCCTCGGATCTGACCAGTATTTTGTGTTCGATTGTACTGCAAAGTCAATCAGTGCATACATTGCAAAAATATTACTCTACAATCAGATCTGAGCTGTCTTTATGTCTCCGATGTTGTTGCCTAATCATTGATACTTTTGATACTTAAGGGATGAGAGGATTTTTGTATTGTGGGAAAAAATTACTTCTTGTTTTTTTATTATTAGGGATTGGGTGTTTAATGTGAAACTAAACCCTGAGATGATGTACATTTGATCATTAAAATCAGCTGGAGCTAAGGAGGTTGTCTTCTATCTTTCATTTCCTGGCTTTTTTTAACATCCTTTATAAATATAATTCTACTTTAACTTAAAAAATATAAATTTACAATGCATGTCTTTCTTAAAACATAATAACTGATCAGGGGACAGATGTATACAGGAAAAGATGTGAACACCATTTGTCATGCATTCTTAATAATATTTTCTTGTCACAATATGCTGTTCAGGTCGATACAATCTTATAAAACTCATGTTGACTTCAAATGTAGGCTATGTCTTACCAATTATATTATAGTACGCCATTGAAATTTCCTTTTAAAATTCATAGTACAGTATCACACAAATATTTTAAATAAATAAAACCATAGTCTAGTACGCTTTAAATTAATAAATACTAAATACTAATTCTAATACAGCATGACTAACTAACTAAAATATCTGAACATAATATCCCCAAAAATCCTATGTATATAATAGTATTTATGTTAAGAATGTAATAAATATGCAATACATGATATAAATAGATACTATTTATAGTATGTCTTTACTAATGTATAATATAGTATAGTATGCCATACATCATAGAAATGTGTAGGAAAAAAAAAGAATAGTATTTTCATTTCATTTCAAACCTTTATTTAACCAGATTGGTCCCATTGAGATCATAGATCTCTTTTTCAAGGGAGACCTGCAGCATATAGGTTCCACATGAAACATAAAACAATAAAGGACATCATACATTATAGTATGCTTTAAAAATTCATAGTATTACATGAAAAATGTATAGTACACTGAAAAAACTGAAACGTTGACCTTAATTAAATGTATTATGTCAACAAATTACACATAACTGTATTAGGTTAGTTGAAAGAATTAATATTAAGTAAAAGAAAAGGTTCAACTTAACATTATTGCTTTAAACAAACTTAATAAAATGATGTGTAATTTGTTGACATAACACATTTAAAGTCAACGTTTCAGTTGTTTCTGTGTATGCCATAAAAAGGCATCATTTGAAAAAATGCAATGAAACAATCATAGTATAGTATTTCATAAAAATAAAAAAAAGTGTCTTATTAGGCTATAGTATGAAAAAAACATTATTTATAAAAATCTAACATAATATCCCATCATTACATTACATTTCATTTAGCTGACGCTTTTATCCAAAGCGACTTACAATAAGTGCATTCGACCAACAAGATACAAACTTGAAGAAAACAGAATCATATAAGTACATCAGGTTTCATAGAGCCAAAACATTTCAAGTGCTACTCAACTGGCTTTAGATAAGCCAGTCCTTTATTAGTATATAAGTGCTTAGTTAGTATATAAGTGCTTAGTTAGTATATAAGTGCTTTGTTAGTAATTCTATCGCTCGAAGTGGAGTCGAAAGAGATGAGTTTTCAGTCTGCGCCGGAAGATGTGTAAGCTTTCTGCTGTCCTGATGTCAATGGGGAGCTCATTCCACCATTTTGGAGCCAGGATAGCAAACCGACGTGTTTTTGCTGATGGGAACTTGGGTCCCCCTCGCAGTGCTGGTGCAGCGAGCCGTTTGGCTGATGCAGAGCGGAGTGCACGTGCTGGGGTGTATGGTTTAACCATGTCCTGGATGTAGGAAGGGCCAGATCCATTCGCAGCATGGTACGCAAGTACCATTGTCTTGAAGTGGATTCTAGCAGTTACTGGAAGCTAGTGAAGTGAGCGGAGGAGCGGTGTGGTGTGGGAAAATGTTGGCAGGTTGAAGACCAGACGAGCCGCTGCATTCTGGATGAGCTGCAGAGGTCGGATGGCACATGCAGGTAGACCAGCCAGGAGGGAGTTGCAATAGTCTAGGCGTGAGATGACGAGAGCCTGGACCAGAAGTTGCGTCGCTTTCTGGGTCAGGAGGGGACGTATCCTCCTGATGTTGTAAAAAGTGTATCTGCAGCAGCGGGTTGTAGCAGCGATGTTTGCTGTGAAGGACAGTTTGTTATCTAGGGTCAAACCCAGATTCCTTGCAGTCTGAGTCGGGGAAACAACAGAGGGGCCGATGTTGATTGTTAGGTCAAGAGTGGGACAATCTTTTCCCGGAAGGAAAAGCAGTTCAGTCTTGTCGACCCTCTCCAAGTTACCCTGTAGGTGCGGTCTTCGAGGTATGAGGTGAGGAGGGAAAGTGCAGAGCCTGAAACTCCAAGTTCCTGGAGAGTGCGAAGGAGGATCTGATGGTTCACCGTGTCGAATGCAGCAGACGGGTCCAAAAGGATGATGACAGAGGAGAGGGAGGATGCTTTAGCCGTGGGCAGTTCCTCAGAGACAGCGAGGAGAGCAGTTTCTGTGGAGTGACCTGCCTTGAAACCAGACTGGTGCGGATCCAGAAGGTTGTTCTGATGGAGATAACAGGAGAGTTGTTTAAAGACAGCGCGTTTTAGACAGGAACGGGAGGAGAGAGAGAGGCCTGTAGTTTATAACATCGGACGGGTTGAGAGTGGGTTTCTTTAGGAGAGGGTTTACTCTTGCCTCCTTGAGACTGTTTGGAAAGTGACCAGAAGTTAGAGAAGTGTTGATGAAATGGGTGAGAAACGGTAGAATATCAGGAGCGATAGTCTGAAGGAGGTTTGAGGGGATAGGGTCCAGAGGACAGGTGGTAGGACGGGCAGAGGTAATGAGGGTAAGAACCTCACTTGGAGAGAGAGGGGAAAAGGAGGTTAGTGTGTGGGTGAACGGTGGGTCTGGTGACCCAGTGGTGAGTAAAGGTGGGTCTGGAGACCCAGCGGTGAGTAAAGGTGGGTCTGGTGACCCAGCGGTGAGTAAAGGTGGGTCTGGTGACCCAGCGGTGAGTAAAGGTGAGTCGGAAAAAGAAGAGCGAATATCATCAACCTTTTTTTCAAAGTAGTTAACAAAGTCGCTTGGAAGAAGGGAGGAGGGGGAAGGGGCTTTGGGGGGTCAAGAGGGTGGAAAAGATAGAAAATAGTTTTTTGGGATTGGAATAGGAAGAATGGATCTTATCTTGAAAGAAAGTGCTTTTTGCCTGAGAGATCGAAGCAGAGAAAGAGGAGAGGAGAGATGATAGGTTAGGAGGTCGTCATGGTGTTTGGATTTCCACCATTTCCGCTCAGCTGCCCGAAGGATGGTTCTATTAGCACGCAGTGCGTCATTTAGCCAGGGAGCAGGAGGGGACTGACGAGCCTGCCGAGATGTGAGAGGACAGAGAGAGTCCAGAGAGGATGAAAGAGTAGAGAGGAGAGTTTCTGCAGCAGAGTTTGGAGGCAGGAGTTGGAACGAGTCAGAGGAAGGGAGGGCTGAGAGCACCGATGAGGCAAAGGTAGAGGGGGAGAGGGAACGAAGGTTACGGCGGACAGGTGCAGAATTAGAAGAGATTAGTTTGTTATGTTTGGAAAGGGGTAGAGCGAATGAAATGAAAAAGTGATCGGATGTGTGAAGTGGGTTTACAGAGAGGTTAGAAGTAGTGCAGTTCCTTGAGAATATGAGATCAAGGACATTGCCAGCTTTATGAGTTGGTGGGGATGGAGACAGTGAGAAAGCAAAGGCGGTGGTTAAAAGAGATGTTAGTTCAGATATCTTCCCTGTCTGGAGGTTGAAGTCTCCGAGAAGTACAGGGAGGGCCAGTTTCAGGGATGTGTGAGAGGAGATATCTAATTCCTCCAAGAAGTCCCCCAAGGCGCCTGGTGGACGGTAGAGAACAACAATGGTTAATTGTATAGGATGGGTTACTGTGACGGCATGGAATTCAAAGGTGGAAGGAGTGAAGTTAGTTTGAAGAGGGAAAAGCTCCATTTGGGAGAGAGCAGGAGACCAGTGCCACCTCCTCTGCCAGTGGGTCTGGGTGTATGGGAGAAGGAATATGCTGTGGAGAGAGCTGCTGGGGTGGAGTGTGTTGGATGGAGTAATCCAGGTCTCAGTGAGAGCAAGGAAATCCAGAGACTGCAGGGAAGCGTAGCCAGAGATGAAGTCAGCCTTAGGAACAGCTGACTGGCAGTTCCACAGGCCACCTGTAACTAGATGTTGGATCGCAGTAGAGCAGGGGTTTTCAAAGTGTGGGAAGGTGAGCCTCCCCTCAGAGAACATAAGAACAGCCGCGCCCCCCCTCCCAATTATTATTGCTATATATTTATTATTATTGTTGTTGTTGCTATAATGCAGGGGTATTCAATTGCATTTCAAAGAGGTCCAGTAAGAGAAAATGAAGACTGTTTCTCTCCTCTTGTCTCGTCTCTGTGTGTGTGTTTGAATCTATCGTGCTGACTCACTGACTGCACCGATTTGATTGGCTGAGTAGCGTCACCTCCTTAAAACATTAAACAATAACTTTTTAAAACCTTTTTATCTTTATGTTTTAAACATATTGTATAAAACTCCCCCACTACTTGGACTATTCCTTGCACCACTCTAGAATAAGCCCGAATGGTCTCAACCATATTGCATCAGTAACGTGCACTTTGTTGTTATAACAAGATCGCAAGGACAGTGGTAGCGATCGGAAAATTGAGTGTTGTTCAGTTTGTGTGTTGTGGAACATGCGTGTCCATGCACGAAAATATACCACACACCCAATTACAATAGCATGTTCAATTCACTACCCTGGAAGTTAATAAAGTTGTTACAGTTGGAACAGCCTGTGGACAGCCGTTCTTCCTTGCATGTCAGTCGCCGACACCTTCTTACAGAGGACTGGAACATTTAGCTGCAGCACGACCCATATATTTTTCGCACGCCGTGTTCTCAACACATATTTTTTAAACATTTTTTACAATTTCAACATCGTGGATACATCCTTATATGCTCCCGGCAACACACTGAACGTTAACTTTGCCTCCTTATTACACACTCACCCCTACTTTAGTGGGAACAATGAGTCTGCGTCTTTGATGCACACAGGAATAAACGCAGATCATCCTCTGGCTGCAGCCTTGACCGGCACTTGCTTTTGATCAAAGTCAATGCGGAAAACCCGCACTCACACAGGTAGGTGGAGGTGAAGGGAATGAGCACTTTTACAGCCCTTTTGGCGAGGTGGGGGAACTCGGTCTCCACAGACAGCCAAAAGTGTGCAAGTAATTATGGCGCATTTCCACCACACGGTCGGCCTCGGCCACGCTCGGTACGGCACGGTACGGCTTGGCCGCGTTGGGCCTTAACAGGGCCGACTCACTTCATGCTGCGCTTCCATTACAGTTTAGGAACTGGGGGGGTAGTTACTATAGTAACGCAGTGTAGGCGGAGCCGTGACGTCATCTTCAACGAGAACCCCAGAAAAACAACACAGCCGTTAGCTGTTAGCACTCAGAGCTCACAGCTCCTTATATATGTTCAGAAACTCGACAAAAGTTAAACAAGTACACACCACAGAGTGCCTGTGTCATGGTGAATACAGTCGCTGCTTTATTTATGTCTGTATAGGCCGTTGTTGTGAGTGTGGACGGTCGGAGCATATATACTGCGTTAACTTAGCCAATCTCCATCTAGAAAACACGCATTTTAAAAGGTTTTTCGCCTGCCGTCTGTCTGCAAACTTGCCAAAGCATTAATTCATGGTTTTTACTAACCGGTATCAGTATGTTGTTACTTCGGCATCATTTTGAAATGTGTATTACAATTAAATCACGGTCAAATATGTCCATCTTGTTGTAGTTGTAGCCCCCTTTGCCAGCGATCCTCTCTCTAGTTTAGCATACTCAGCCCGACTCAGCCCTGTTTGTTGGCCCCGATAGAACCACATTTTGTCGGGCCAGAAAAGAGGTGAAAAAAAGTGGCCCCGGGCCGGGCCGGGCCGGGCCGTAACTAGGCCTAGTGGAAGCGCAACCAAAAACGGGCACGGCACAACACGGCACGCTTAAAGCGCGTCCGCGCCATGGTGGAAATGCGCCATCAGTGTCACTTTACTCGTCTTTTTCTCGTTGTTTTTTTTCTCACGCTGCGCCTCCCCTGAAGCTCTCTGGCGCCCCCCAGGGGAGGCGCGCCTCACACTTTGAAAACCGCTGCAGTAGAGCATGTGGGATAGACGAGAGCAGGCCGGTTATATCGATTAGGACTAGGAGATACACGGGGCCAGTGATAATACACGGGGGCCATCAAAAACATAGCACTGTAGTATGCCCTATATATATTTACTTGCACTTTACACAACACCATTCAAAAAATGACCTTATGATCTTCTCATCATCACACTTAGCCTACTTTATACAATTTATTTTAATATTAATCAATATTTCCCCACCACACCTCTCTCCTCCACCAGGCACCAGCCCTTCAGACCAGCAGAGGGTTTGCGCATGGTCAGTCTCACCCCTCATCACCCCCCCCCCCCCCCCCCCCCCCCCCCTCCCCTCACCCCACGCCCCCTCTCTCTGCACCCTCCTCGCATATGATCCAGCAGCAGCCATCCATCTCTCTGGATGCTCTGCCCCGCACTCAGCCGTCTTGATTCCCGCCTGGTCGCGGCATCAGCACCAGGTAAGAGGCCGCGCTTTCATCCCGATCACTTCACGCAAAAACCTCGGATCGATGCCCCTCCAGGTGATCGATGCTACCCGCGATGTTTATTCGGTTTTTGCTCGGGGGGGAAGCGGGATGGATGCTGCCTGGATACCGAATCCATCCCCGGTGTTTCCCTCTGGAGAGAAATCGACACTTGTGTTTTCTCGGATGCGTTATTTTCCTTTAGAATAAGATCCTCCTTTGACTCTCCCTCCGCTCTCAGTCCGTGTTATCTGCCGTCAGATCCGGATAATGAATAACGTGTCAGTCGGTGTGGTGCTTATCTGCCCTGGATGATATTATCGCTCTTACACACACACACACGCTCATAGATGGAGTGTATTGGTCCAGGTTTTTGGCTGTTTGGTGCATCACAAGGTCACGGTGCTGCTGGTGACCGGACACCTTGCCACGGGCATCTGGCTCTCCTCTGCGGGCCACGGGGCTTGATGTGCGGTTCAATGGTAACTGTGTCAGTGGGCTACTTTAGCCTGGAGCTCCCTGGGGATTAACCGGCTGTTTAAACACAAACAATTTGATGACAATACTAAAAAATGACATATTTGTGGTGAAATGACACCTCATGATATGGAAGGCTATATGTGTCAGAGTAATATAGTATTGTAGCTATCATGGTGGTTTTGATATTCTGACAGTCTCATGGTTACAGTAACCGGTGTGAGGGTTTGAACATGGACAGGTTCACACCCAGAGCTCAGAGGTGTTACTGTAGCATGCACACACTCACAGTTTATTCTCTGGGAAATAATATGTAAAGAAAAAAACAAAAAAAAAGCAATTCATCAAATTGGTTTATAATTTATTAGAATATAATATAAATTACACAGTAATATTAACATAATTCTTTCATACTAATATTATTAGTGACTCATTGATTAATGCCACCCATTCATCTGCTAAGACACAACAACATTGAAAATCATTGTTTATTATAAACCTTGCTATATGTTAATTATTTCTATTTTGTGGTCAATTATGATACAATATACTATACCCATTCTATACTCTATTACATGTTATAATCTATTGAATTTGATGTTCTATTGCTTTGCTACATTATTTTTGTTATACTGCATGTTACTGCATTTCATATCTAATCACACACTTTATAACAATGTATCATTCTACTATATTATGATCATAGTTGCAAAGATCTTGCATTATTTACCTTTACATTGCTTTTGAATTGTTAGATTTGTCTTTTTTAATAATTATAATTTTTTGGACTTTTATAAAAGTGTCGTGTGGACTAAAAAGAAAAGATTCCACTGTTAACTATTGTATAATTTAGTACTTGATTAAGTCATTAATACTTCTAACAATAATATTAATAAATGAACAATAATAAGAAATGTATAAGAAATGTATATCCTTTATCACACTTTATATACAAATACAGCTGAAAGGCTGAATAGCATCACTGTATTTTCACTTTACATAAAGTGAAAGGCTGCAGGTCACTAATGTGTGGATTTAAGCCCCTGTATATGAATATTTAAAGTATGACACCATTAATATGACCTCAAATAACTCTAATGCCAATAGCAACTTACCAACAAGACCTTCATTGATCACACATGTCCCTAAAATAATTGTATTTCTTCATCATTACATCATTATTTTGTGTTTATTCAGTGAGGATAGTGCACAGTGGAGGGATGGTGAAGACATGAGCACATCCAACAGATTTCGATGGAGTCCTCTTTCAACGGCGTAGAGCTCCAGGAGCTGCGGGGGGGAGGAGGTGGTGGAGGGGGGCAGAGCGTGTCTCCAGCGCCGGCCGCAGTAAGGGGGGGCTTCAGGGGCTTCGAGAACGCCTCCTACCTGCAGGACGATGAGAATGAGGACCGCCAACAGAGGGCGACTGTCCTGGCAGGGGTCCGCCCTCAACTTCAGGCAACAGCAAGGTAATATTGGGCTTTTTATACTTTTAGTCTCATAAATATCTTTAATTTGCACAAATCATAAAACATCTGACTTTGGTGCTAAATGACGCTTTTTTTGATTACATTTCTCTAAAGGGCCCTATTATGCTTTTTGTGGCTTTCCCTTTCCTGAAGTGTGCCTGAAAACACCTCCATTGGATTCCTTTGTTTACTTCCTTAACACAGTGACATCACTGTGTAACACTTGCTCTTCTATTGGCTAGGCTCCAAAATATTGTACGTGATAGGCTAAGGGGCCTAAATATATATTTTTCAGACAGAGGGTGAAAAGAGGTGCTGCAGCACAGGCAGTATGAGGAAAATAAAGAGCTTTTTGACATTAAAGCAAAGAAAGAACAGAACGGGAGCGAATGTTGATTTTGTCCATGTCCTAAATCTTCAAATCATTCATTTCAACGTTTGGGTTCCAGAAAAAAGGATAGTAGGGAAAACTGAAGGGGCTAGCATAGTAGCTAACGTAAGCAGCTAACTGACAACCTCAAAATAACCGGGTCTGAATAAAAATTGGACAAGAGGCAAGCTACCATTTACGGGTTCAAACCTTTTTTTCCACTCATCCAACTCAATTGCCAAAATCAAAGCTGCAAACAGTCGCTCTCAGGTTTTGGACTTCACAAAGCTATACTAAAAGTGACTTAATTCAACATTTTATAATATTATGGCGCCCCCATCAGGGAAATTGAAGTCATATTTGACATATTTTAAGCATCATCTTTTATTTTCAATGTCTTCATCAAAATATGGTTTATTCTTCATACCCTCCTCTTGTTTGTCTTCTTTACTTTGTGTCTTTCTTTTCCTCTCCCAGGTGGAGCAGCAGCATCAGGGGCTCTCCCCGCGGTCGTACGATGACGAGGAAGGAGCTGGAGGTCAGGAAGACGGCCAGGACTTCACCGAGTTCCACCCCCCCGACGACAACACCGCGGACTACGGCTTCATCTCTTCGCCCTGGTGTTCCTGGTGAGCGGCATCGTGCTGGTGGTTATCGCCTACACCATCCCCCGAGAGGCCAAGGTCGACCCGGACTCCGTGTCTGCCCGCCAGATGGAGAAGCTGGAGATGTACTACGCCCAGCTGGGCTCCCACCTGGACAAGTGCATCATCGCGGGCCTGGGCCTGCTGACTCTGGGGGGATGTTCCTCTCCGTGCTGCTCATGGTGTCCATCTGCCGGGGCGAGATGTACCGACGCAGGGCGGCGTTTATTCGCCCCAAGAGGACTTACGGCTCCATCAACCTGAGAATGAAGCAGCTGGCCACTGGGGAGGCAGTAGGAGGCGGCGAGGGCGTGGACGTGGACGGAGGTGAGGAGTTTTTGGTGGAACACGCAGAGACGCGGAGTAACACCCAGCCAGGTCCGAGCCGGGACGCCAAATCAGAACCAGGACCAAGCAATCCTCCTCCTGCTGCTTCATCCTCTTCTTCTTCACATGGAGCCAATTAGCTTCATTTCCACTGTGCAACCTGCCTTCCTCTGAGTCAGTTGCAACACAGGGATGCAAAATGGTGCAGCTCCCCCCATTTGTGCAGACAGGGGAATCCCATGTTAAGCACAAGGCTCTCTGCAGGAGCGACCCAGCTTTAACCCAGCGTTTTGGGATGAACAAGGGTCTGGGATATTTATTCTAACCAATCATAAAGGATGTTTTATCTAACAAAAGAGGGCTCGACCCGGTGAGAGAAAGAGGTAAGCCTATATGTTAGTGTGGAACAGAGCACATTTGGAGGTGAATGGCTGTATATGAAAAAAGCTCCAATATAAATCCGAATATATTAATCAGAGTTTTACAGTAAAAGCACATGTGTCGATTGGTTGCAACTGCAGAAACAAAGATTGTATAAAGCTCAGTATTGATCCTCATCCATCAGGCAACCTAAATACGATCAACATTTAAACCTAGCCTTGTTTTAAACCTCAATAACAATGAATAATATCAGACTTGCTGCTGTGATCATTGGAAATCCACCAGTAAATTGATAGAAAATGTTAGTACTGTACTATTATAGAAAGCTTAATGGGAAGTTGGATGCTAGCTCTTGCAAAATAAACACAGGCAACATTTTTGACGTGATGTGAGACAATTACGCTCATCAACAACATCAGCAACACTCGACAATAAAGGACATTAAATAATATCAAAAATAGGTTTACTATCAGCAACAAAATTAAAACAAAACAGTGTTATTAAAACCTGCATTAAATAACATACTTGAGTGCCTACAATTACAATAAACCACTTCACTTATTGCCAAGAGTTTTGGAAAAGATCTTAACAGTCACAAAAAGTTGTAAAAACTTGCTACTAAAGCGCCATAAGATCTTTATGCATCCTTTGGTCGAGATTTATTGAACCAAAATGATTATTTGACATTATTAGTTGCTTGTTTCTTCTCTGAATGCAATGCTTTTTTCACCAAAAAATAAAATGCATTCAAATGCAGAGCTGGAGGAGGTGTCAGACGGACATCTGATATGAGTCACTGTGGAGAGGGTGACACGTATTACCCAGAAAGCATTGCATCAGCAGCCCTGAGCTCTTCATACCTGATTTGTTAGTCATCCATCTTCTTTGTCCTCCACCTGAAGGTTCTTATATGAAAACCTTCGTGTTTGTTCCCAAACAACAACATGAGGGATGAAAAGGAAATTGTCACTGTTGCAAATAGATGTTTTTTGACAGTGGGAAAAAAGCGAAATGTGTTTTTTCATCACAAGAATCAGGTCATGTTTGGTTGAGATTGAAGGCAGATAGCTGAAAAAGTGACATAACTAGAAAAGAGAAATTAAAGGTGTGAATATCAAAAATAATGCTGAATGTTTTAGATTGAAAATGTGGTGAATCTGAAATAACCACAAAATAATTACAAGCCAAGTCTCCAAACTATCATGTCACATATCCAATTTCTACTACATCACTGAAAAACTGCTGCCTCGTGTTTATTAATCAGCATTTTCTGCTAGCATCACTTTTTCAACAGCCTCTTTGTATCATGTTGCAAGTAAATATCAACTATAAGCAGATCCTCATATAAGTCATTATATTTATCTGGCATTTGAAGCTCCTGAGTATTTAGTGGACAATAAAATAAGCTACCGTGCTACAAGCTATTCGCTGCTGTAAAAAGAAAACCTCGCGATTCCAGATAATAACTTTTAAGAATACAGAAAATAAAAAAACTTTAGGCTAATTTATTTATTTTTAAAACACAACCAAACATTAAGAAGCCTTTTTATTTATATTTGACTGCAGCTCTTATCGCGGAGAAGAAGCTGGTTTTGACTGGAATTAACCTTTAATGACACAGCGTCTACTTATTTTTGATATGTGAACAGATGTTATTTATGTCATGTAAGGATACAATATGCCTTAATGAGTAAACACAGACACTGTAAATTGTGTATACGCAAATATTATTATGCTAATGTATAAGGTCTGCATAGTGAGCCAATTAGCCAAGGGTAATGTAGCCACACACACACCACAAACACACACACACACCACACACACACACACACACACACACTCACATACACACACACAACCACACACACAACCACCACACACACACCACACACATACATACACACACACAACCACACACAACCACACACACTTACACGTAATATGTCCTAATACGTTTTAACTTGTGAGAACATCTTGATTCTGACTTTATATCCGTAAACACTGACATACTAATCTCAAGTTGTTTATTATAATATGTACAATATTTGTATTTCGTATTCAAATATACTGTAAATACTTCATGTGAACATGTGGGATGTAGAGGACCAGCTAAAGCTCAACGCTCAGAAACCAAATCCACAATGCAGGTGTGCAAAACATCTGCAGCAGCAACTAACCAGCAGCTGGATCAGAACAAACAAAACTCAACTGTGAAACCGAGCCAAACTGGGACTAAATATAAAACATTCAGAGTATTTACATGACAAACAACTCATAGGTTAACAAATATAATTCAATGGTTTAAACATTTTAGGGTTGTTAATGTTTTTTTTAAATTGTAGAATAAATGTTTAACTATAAAATGGCAGAAAAGGTTAATGTAATAAATAAAGCTTCCTGTTTTTACCAAAAACTAGAAACCCGCAAATATCGATGTTTATGTGAATGGAACCAGTGAATTTTTTTCTTAACAAAAGAGGTTAACATCTATTTTCAAATAATTGCATCAATATCTGACGATTTACTAAACTATTTAAGAACTATTTTTTGCAAATCTATTAGATCAAGTCCTATTTATAAATGTTATTATGATTGAAAAGAAAGAATACCAAGCTCACTTTAAATGTTCTGCAGGAATGAAAGAATAATACTTCACCAGGACTTGATTTCCTGACAAGTGTCTCCTAAAGCATTTAACGAATATAACAACATTTATTAAATTGGTCAGCACTGTTCTAAAATCCCTTGATGATTTGAAAGACTGACGTGTTTGGGGACAGGTTTGGTCCCTGCTACAGTCATCTCCTGCTGAGGTGTCCTTGAGTAAGATACGATCTGTGTGGCTGCTTCTGGTGGAACAGGGTCATTTGTTTGGAGCGGCTTTCTTGCTTAATCTTCAAATGAACAACATCACACTTTTTTGGACTTCACTTGAACACTTCCTGCTGCAGGCAGGAAGCTTGGTAGAGGGAATGATTCAGACAGTCTGCCTCAAGAAGAAGAGAAAAAAGTCTAATCTGCATGTTGTATTATCTCCATAATAAGAGCGTAAGGCGATAGTTGCCAGTTTCATATTATATTAAAAAATAACATCAAAAATAATGATGATGATGTACAGTACATTGCAATATGAAAAAAAACAAGACACCACCACTCAACTGACGTTACATTTTGCAAACAAATCATTTTTTTCTGTGTTTTTGTCCTGTCTCACGTTCATTTTCGAGGTTTGATCGCAGACAGAGCCTGCATAGTTTTGTTCAAAAGGTTAAGAATGATTGTGATTGGTGGTTGACTGTATATGTAGAGCCAGCATATAACTCACTAGCGACACACACTTAAATCAGAGTCAATTTGTCATAGAAAGTTAATGGAGATAATTAGCTTTACTTTGACATGGCCTGCGGTGTGCTGACACCATACATTTTATAACACACTGTATATAAGGTTCAATGTCAAATTAGTGTTACTGTTTCTATTATTATTATGTATAACACCACTATACAAGCATAAGTAAAAAGTAGGCTTCAATGATTTCCCCGTTTCAGGGATTACAGTGTATTTCAGGGACTGGTTTGTTAAGAGAAACAGAAATGAGAAGTAAGTAGATGCAGGAGAGGTATCTGTGTGAGATCGGAGATAACAAGATGTGTGAGAGCTGATAGGAAGCAGCGGAGAGCCGGATGACGTGAGGTGATTCTTGAAGAGATTTGCAGCTTGTGGGAGGAAGACAGGGAGTGACTCTGCATGAACCCAAACACTTTCAGCCAGGTGTCCCAGAATAACAAGAGACAGGAATAAACAGTCGGGCGTGACTCATGTTTGGTTTTAATGAGCATGAAAAAGCACTTTAACTCTCATTCTTGTCGAGACATTAGGTTCAACCTGCAGGTCCTTGTTAGTGGGAGGAAACAACGAGAGAGAGAGAGGGAACTGTGGTTGGTGCAGGTCGGGCGCACACAGCTGGAAGAAAACATTTCTGAAAGGTTTTTAGAGAGTGTTCAGTGACACAAGGGGATTGAATCGGGTCAGGAGGAAACAGAAAGGTTGTGATTGCTTCTGTGCCTAAAGGGAAGCACGTCTTTCATCAAAAGTTGGGGAGGACAACTTCATATGTTGTGAAAGTAAAGTCGATGCTGTCTCCAAAGGAATTCTGATACATATCCTCCAGTGATTGAGGCCCAATCCCAAACCACGCCCTACAACCTACCCCTACACACTACCCAGCCGTTCGTGCGGAGGGTCCTCCACATTAAGTGCTGTTCCAAACCAACGAGTGTGGAGGGGGAGATGCAGACTCGCCCTCAAACAGCGAGTCTGCATCGGTGCTGACTGGAGACCGGTCTCTACCTGACCGGAGTCACGCTGTGTGTGTCCGTCAGGAAACAAGCTGTTTACAAACAGTTCCAGCAAACATCCACTGATAAACTGCGATGTTAACAACCTCATGATAACCTCATCTTTTTTAACTTAGGATCATACATGTGTTCAGTCTAGAAAAAGGTAAATGTGTGCATTTTATTATAAAGTTGTGTATATTTACAGACTGTTGCAAAAACGAAGAAGCTTATAAAACTAAAAGAGCTTTACAAAAAAGTAACACAATTAAAGATGTTTGGAGTTTTATTTTAGTTATTAATTTTTATTTTTTGCTAGTCTCTCTGATTCTCTTTGCAACGGATTTGCATCTCTTTGTTGTTGTTTTGGTCGTTTATATAGTCGTATTGTGTCTCTTTGTTGTTGTTTTGGTCGTTTATATAGTCGTATTGTGTCTCTTTGTTGCCGTTTTATATTTATTTTTGGACATTTTAAGTGTCTTTCTTGTTGGTCCATGTCTCTTTGATGGACATTTTGTATGATGGTCCTCTGAGCCTTGTAGGTCTGTTCAGTGATCTATACATGAATCTGACGTTCTTACTGGATAGTCATGTTGCTGTTGAATGAGATATAAGATGAAAACGATGAACACAAAATGAAAGACATGAATGGATGATTACCAGAAAACAGAAGCAGACATAGGAAGGACGTAGCTAATCGTCTGAAAGAAACGTAACTATGTTTCTGATCCTATGTGACGCCTTCAATGTCAAGACAGAACCTTGACCAAAGACACAGAGAAAATCAATCTTTATTCTGTCTGCAGCACAATGACTGTGTTACCATAGAAATCGTCTATTTATATCAAGGACCCATGGCAGAGCCGCTCTCGGATGTCATGGAAAGTCCTTGTGAGGGCACCACAGAGGAGACAATGGTATAAACTCATAAAGACCTCTTGGAAATATACAAAGCTGAGGGGACACGCAGAAGTCCATTTTTAGTACAAATCATCTATAAGTGGGAGCTTTAATTCTCACCAGACCAAGGGCACATTTGAGCTGAGCAGTCAGAACGTGCTGCAGAAAATCCTGAGGACACAGCAGACGACTGAAACCTCAGCGGATAGTGCCGTTCTTTATGTATTTGTTTACCATAGTATAGGAGACTTGATGTGTTGAACAAATCATATTCTACTTACAAAACACAACTGGCAGGAGCAAGAATCATTCTGTAAAAAAATACATCAAACATGTTCAAACTTTAAGATATATTTTACTATTTTAAACTGCTGTAATTTATATTTTGAAGCCGCTTACACGCTGCTATTAGACAACATATTTTAATAAGATTAACATGGAGCGGCACTGAACAATACCAGACAAACAACATTGTTTGACTGTTATATCATCATTACAACACTTTGGAAGATTTTATTATTTGGCATAACATTCATTGAAATGTATTAATTATTTAAAATGTATTCAAACATATTTTTTGTCACTTTGACCTGTTTTCTAAAAAGATATTTTAATTGAAATGTTAAAGTGCTGTTGTCAGCAGTTTTTGAATAAAACAAGCACAGACCTATACATATTAAAACCAGAATCATATCATAACATTTCAGCTGTATGTATCAGATGTGTGTTCAGATGTGAGCTCTTTTGCGAATCCTTGCCGATTGAAAACATCTGCTGTAAAGAAATGCAGCATACAGTAGTTAAGTGTTAAAGCAAATATATCAGTGCTCTTACTCAAGAGACCTTTGGTTCTGTTTTTCTGATAAGCCGTTTCCTTTCCTGAACCAGAGCAGTCACAGTCCCTACCTCCATCCTCTCCAAATAGGAGTCTAGAGGTCAGAGGTCAGTTGTTCCCACAGCTGCTTGCGATTCAGAGCTTTACTCAAGGACACTTCAGCAGCCGGGGCAGGGTTGTGCCCCCCAGCTCAGCCTCATTAATCACTTCACATCCTGCTGCTGCTCATACATACCCAGAGAAGGTTGCCAAGCTCCAAAATCTCCTGAAATCAGCAGAAAATAGAGAAAAATAACCCTAAACACCCTCCAGTTTTATTCAATTTAACAAACTAAAAACATAAAACGGTACATCCTGCTGATGCCTCCCTTTATATACAGATACAATATGCTCAGATGAAACACACACAGCAGTAGCATTTTACTCAGAGACTCAATGAATGTACAATTTAAGGCTGTAACACAGCACCGTCACGCAATATCACAATATCTGTCGGTCACATGGTGTAAACAGTCACATGGTTTCAGTGCAGACGCCTTGGAAACACTGCTGTATAAACATTCCTGCTCTTTTATTTGTATTGGTCTTAAACAAGTTCAAAGATGTGTATCTAACCAGATACAGCAACATTTCACCCATCTGGAATCATTTTTGGGGTTACAGCATCTGTGAGTAGTAACATGTACAGCCTTCAAAATAAAAGCAGGCACAAGAAACAGGAAGTTGACTTTTTCAATAATGAAATGTAAAAAAAGAAAATATTCCCTGCAGGTGAAATGTCGCTTTACGATACAAGAATGAAATGAAATGCATATTAAAGGCTATGAAATATATGAAAGAGATATAACGTGGCCTGGGAAAGCAGTTGTGTGTCTGTTTGTGAATCAAAGATGTGCATTTATGACAATAAAAGTAAGGTTTAGCACAGAAGATAATGGGAAATGGGATTTAAAGGGATATATCAGTTGGTTTTTGAAGTGGTTGTATATTAGTTTGACTGTCAGCTGGTGGGAATGTTAAGAGAGTAAAGAAAATATGAATAAGTATATGAAGATATTGAGACAGACAAAGACCATTGTAACGTGATCAAAGTGACGTATCTCTTTAACCGGAGTGAAAATCGAGGTCTATAAAGAAGTTTTTTACAATTTTGTTCAGTATTTCTACATTTTCTTTATCCAGATGTTAACAGTTAATAGTTTTATTAGTAACTTTAAAGCTTTGTATCCCTATTTATCTCTTCATGTTTTTGCACTAAGTGATGAAGACATCAATTACAGGAGTGAATTGAGTCAAGTGTCATTTCATAAAAGAAATTGTCTGAGTCTCAAATATGTCTTTCTTAAGACTCCATTCTGTAGAGGATGTATGAAACGTTCTGCTTTCATCTGGTTCCAGCATTACGTTAACACAAAAACAGAACATTGAAGTGGCTACGGCACAAATGTATCCTTTACTTGTTTAAAATGGGGACATTTATTATTCATCATGATTTTGAAGATTGCTTTTCAAGATTCTTTGGATCGTATTTATTTAATTTGACACAAACCACAAAGATAGAATTTGTTTTTGTTATTCCAACAATGTGTGTTTCCAATGGTTCAGCTGCACAGACCCCTGGTGTTGCTCTATGGTGTATTTTGTGACGAGCACAGCTACTTATGTACATTGTGTTAATGCCGTATGTTGTTAAAATCATATCATAATCTGACAAGTGTTTAAATGTGCTGATTATCCATTCATATTTCCCAAATCTTAAAAATCCTACTCAAGATCAACTTTATTCCTCTTAATAAACCTCTCTTTTGAAGCAAATAAAGATGAATGTAGGGAGCTTCAGCTATTCCCTAACTGAACGTAGAAAACTCATTTCATATATTCTCACTTGAGAAACTGATCCATTGAATACACACACTAGATACATTTATATGGATTTGTATGTCATCCGTTGGAGAAGAGGCCCCTCTCCACTGATAGTTGGAGCGCTGCTGAATCTGCATGTTCTAAGTGTGTGAGCTGTGAAAGTGTAAAGATGCCTTGTTCCTGTACATACTGAGGAGGAGCTGTATACTGTACGTAACAACAATGCTGATTCTTCATTTTGTTAACGTGACCAATAAAAGTTCTGTTTTGTTGTTTTTAAATCGAGTGCAAATGTGTCTGTCTCTTGAACCTTGTCTGAACTTGATTTGACATTTCATTTCAGTGACAGTTTAATTCCTTCATCAGCAGTAATGAAGGAATTATAAATATGGAAAGAACAGACAACAGATTGTTAATCTAAGACTTTTATTTTGGCATGGGATATTTCATCAACTATGTTGTAGAATCAACAACAATCCAAACAAAACAGCTGTAAGGAACCATATGTCATGCTCTTCTTAAGTATCCACAACAGAAATACAAGCGCTTGTTCTTTATTATGCATAAATTAGAACTACAAGATGCAGTTTAATGGGACAATAATCATCTAAACTCACTTCTATCCTCCAGGAAGCAGAGGAAAAAGAGCATGTATATTTATCACTAAGGGAACTTCTACACAAGTTATATACACGAGTTGTACATCAGTTATAAGAAACCAATAATATGAAACCCTCTTTCTCAAAAACGGGAAAATAAAAAAGGCAAACATTTTTATTTTCAGGCCACTAAAGCGGATCAAACCCTGCAGGGGGGGGAGAGGAGATCCTCCTCCTATTGGCTGGAGGACAGGATGTTGTCGTGAGTAGCAAACAGGGAGTAGAAAAGAAGGAAGCACTACATGAACATGTCGTCATACCCCGGCGGGGGCATGTGGTCCGGGTCCGGCCTGGAAAACAAACATGCTTTTTTTTAGTTCAGAGTTACCCAAATTGGGAGTTTTTTTTGTAACAGCAGCATGCTAACAAGGCCTTGAACGTGAGTCACCAAAACTGTGATTTTCTATCTTCTCCACAACTGTCCCGTTAGACATCGCTTTTAAGTAGCTGCCACTCAAATCATATCCACAGAGACTCTCATCTGCCAGGCTTTTTACCAGAACAAGAAATATATAGCACAAAAGCCCAGTATAGCTAGCTTACTCGTGTTTTAGGTCTTTTAAAACAAGGCTCCTAACGTTTTCGGGGTGGCCCACATTAGTTATTCTTTTTTTTACATAATCTTAGACCAACTGCTGCCATTTTTCTTTAAATACAAACTTTCACAGAAAAAAATTTGGCAGCTCAATTTCTTTTTGCAATATGCACAAAAAGATGCAAGCGCTGTGAACATTTTTAAATGAGAATTAAAAAAAGTTATTTATCCTGCATTGGCTTCAACTAGAACGCTTCTTTATTTAAATATTTTATTTGCATATGCCATGGATAGTCTGTTGTAAAGTTCCACAAATGCTCGGATGCAAAATTAAACTAAGGCTGGAACTAAATTATATATATTATTGTCCTGGCAAATACACTGAATTGCGGAAAAAATGTATTATCTCTTCTCTCTCCTTTCAGTCTCATTCAGCTTGTAGATTCTTATCTTGAGCCAGCAGAGGGGGTTACTTTGACAAAAATAGACACATTTATAAGTGTGTGTTTGTGTGTGTGTGTGTGTTGTACCCTGGTCTGGGTCGTCCGACTGGTCCAAACGGGTCGAAGCGAGCCCCCTGGGGAACAGCTCCAGGAGGCAGGATGTCTGGTATTCCACTTGATGGGTCAAAACCAGAGCGCGGATACCCCGACCGCAGGGGGTCCAGGATCATCCCGCCACCACCACGGGACCTGGGGGGGGGGGGGGGGGGGGGGGGGAGGATATGTGTCATTTATCTTTTCTTTCACACACTTTCCCTTAGTTTAAGTTTAATGAGTGTTTTATAGTTTGAACTGAAAACTTTTTCTCAAAGCAGTCAAACATTGTGGAGAGACTGGCCATGTTATTTGATAAAGGGCCAAAACTTCTAATTACACAAGAGATAAAACACAACAAGTTATATGTCTGATGATAAAAAACAGAGGACAAGGGCCACGCTCCATTTGATGCTATCAAAATATGCCAAATGTTGCCATAGTAACACTACTATGAAAAGTTTGGAATCTGGAGCTGGTTTTTCTTCTTTACACCAATTATACACCGTAATGTATTATTTACATTTGAAATAGTTTTGGATCCAAAAGAAGAAGAATTCAAAGATTACATCTTCCATTTAGATTTGATTATACAGAAAGATTACGGTTAGATTTTGAATTTGTTTTCCAGGCCACAAAAGTGTAAAACACCCTTATTCATTATGTAACCACAACACTGCAACTGAACTTTAAATATTTAGTTTGTCAGATTGTTGTGGTTTGATTGAAGAGGTTTAGCTGGTGTTCCCTGATCCGTTTCAACAACCCAGGCCTAACTTCATTATATTGTGAATCTAAAACAATGACTTTGAAACAGCAACACATTGGAGGTTAATTCCAGGTTGTTAAAGGCAGTTTTGTGCCCCTGACACTCAAACCTGTTCCTTATTAAATCTGCAAAGATATTGTTGCTAAGCTTCCAGTTTCTTTAACAAACGTCTGTGAATTCTTCTCTTCTTTTGGGTGGTCCTAACCTTTTAATTGACATCGTTCAGAGCATGTTCTCAAAATACAAAATAAAATATGTTTGTAAAGACGTTTCTACAACCTGAAGCATGAAAGACAATTAAGAAAATATATAAAGAAGTCCTCTCAGACATCTGACTGTACCCAATCAAGCTTTTGTGGCATATGCCTCAACAGTATGTATACAAGTTGTTTTCTTTAAAGAGGCCCTGTTGTGCTTCATGCTTTGCTTTTTTACGCTTCCATTGGACGTTTGATTCCTGAACACAGAGACATCACTATATAACACT